CGTCACCACTTACCACACTGTGGGATTGCAGTAAAGAGTTTCTTATAATCTATACAAATAAATAAAATTTAAGTGTCTGTTTTTAATGTAAAATTTTAATAACAGTATATAACAATATAACAAAGTATATACGGTACTGTTTAGGACATTATTATTTAAGTTGCAACTCAATAAAACTATTTATGAATAACGATTGAAATTTTAATTGATGGAGACACTGACTTGTACATTTTGTAAGAAGGAAGAGAGAAATTGTTGCCAGTGCAATACAATTTAAAAAAAATAATTTAAGTCATAGACAGGTGTTTATAGCAAAAAAAATTTTTGTAATTTTGTCTGTCTGTCTGTTTGTTCCGGCTAATCTCCGAAATGGCTGGACCGATTTTGACGGGACTTCCACTGGCATATAGCTGATTTTATAAGGAGTAACTTAAGAATTTTAGAAAAATAATTAGGGTAACGCGCAAAATATTAAACCCCATGAAATATAATCTTAATAAATTCACGCGAACTACTTCGCGGGGAACAGCTAGTAAGTAATAAAATGTACTTAATAATTGAAAGTTAACAGTGGCAGAGCCACGCGGCAGCTTTTACTGTCGCACGGATGGGCCGGCTCGAACCGGGGTGGTACCACGACCTCACAGAAAACCAGCGTGAAGTAGAGGTTTACCTCTGCGTTTCGCTTGGTGAGTGCAGGTGGCCGGAGGCCCTTTTTACTGGAAATGAGGCATTCCATCTTAGTCCTCACGGGTGACAACGCATCTACATTTTGATTTGTAACAGAGGATAGATGTAGATGTCTATGGGCCGCAGCAACCACTTACCATCAGGTGGACTGTGTGCTCGTTTGTCACCCTTATCCTATAAAAAAAAACGTAGCTTTTGGCAATTGGCCTAGAGAACATCATCATCCTATTTAAAATCTATGAGCCGCGATGGCTCGGAGGATAGGAGTACGCAAAAACACTTGTGACAACTAAAGCGTTCGACACCCAGCAGTGGATATAGGCTGTTATTTTATTTTGCTTTTCCTTTATCATTATCATCATCATATCAGCCTTTACAAGTCCACTGCTAAGCATATACCTTCCACAAAGCCCGAGTCCAGAGCTACTTGCATCCATTGACTGCCTGCGTTTCTTTTTTATTTCTTACATCTTACATGTGTTTTATTTCACGCCATTTAATGGGAGACCGTCCTACACTCCATTTCTCGTTACGTGGCTGCCACTCGATCACCTTTATTACCTATCGGTTATAGGTTCCTCGATCTATAAATTCACTTTAACTTACTAATCCGCTGGGTTACGTCAGTTAATATGGTTTATCTGCGGACATCATCGTTGCGGATTCTATCACGCATTACGAGAAACTTCAAGCATTTTCCACTTTTGCTTTTCATTCTAAAGTATGTTCAATACTAGGATCGTTAAACGGATTTTAAACTCGCTACAAGCGAAACCCAAGAAAATCCTTTTTCATTATTATTCACTCGGCGTATACTGTTCGGTTAGCCACAAAGGTCTGTTGTCGTCGCATGTAAGTAGCGACAGAAATAGGCATATTCATGACTAAATAGGAATTGTTAATATGGTAAAGTATTCCACGGTGGCACATCGCTGGACGGCGTAATGCTGCGGTAACAATTGCGCTTGGAACGCCCACGGCTGCGATTTACTAATTAGTAATAATGAGCTAGCACTGGTTATTCCTATCATATGTCAAATTTCATTACTATGTTCTAATTATATTTTTGTTATGTGCCACTTTCATGTTTACAATTGCATTGACTTGATTGTAATTGTATATCGAGAAAGAAGAGGACGAGAAATATAAAAAACTTCATGAAAGAATGCCTTAGTCTAATGTTAGTTATTATAATGTGTATTATGTACATCCATCCATTTAATTAGTTAAAACGTTAAAGTTGAAGTTACAACTTACATACGTCCCACTGCTGCGCACAGGCCTCCTCCTCTAATATCTGAGAGGGTTTTAGGGCAAGGAAATGTCCGCTTCGCCACTCTACCCCAATGCGTGTTGACGAACTTCGAAATAATGTTTTTCTTTTTATTTCTCAGAGATGCAGATTTTGCTCACAATATTTTCCGTCACCACCGAGCACGCGGTAAATCAGCATTTAATTTCAATTAACAATCACAACACAAACAAACATTCGCGTACTGTGAAATTTACAGCGAGCGCTTAGCTCTTCAGCTACCAGTGCTCATTTAATTGATATTTACGACTAAATTACATCCTATATTAGTATAAATATCATATTTACTACTATTTTAATTGGAAATGTGTTGTTTATAAAATTAAAATTAGGCCCAAAGCAATAAAGCTTCAAACCGAGTAAATCAACTTCTCGTCATCATCATCATCATTACAGCCCTTCACAAGTCCACTGCTGAACATAGGCCTCCCCCAAAGAATGCCACAAAGCACGGTCCTGAGCCACCTGCATCCATCGACTTCCTGCATGTCTTACCAGGTCGTCACTCCATCTCGTGGGGGGACGCCCTACACTTCGCCTACCGTTACGAGGCTGCCACTCGAGAACCTTTTTTCCCCATCGGTTGTCGGTTCTTCGAGCTATATGGCCGGCCCACTGCCACTTCAGCTTACTAATCCGTTGGGCTATGTCGGTTACTCTGGTTCTACTGCGGATATCCTCATTCCTAAGTTTATCACGCAGAGAAACTCCGAGCATAGCCCTCTCCATAGCTCGCTGAGCGACCTTGAGCTTCCTCATCCGGCCAGCAGTGAAGGACCACGTCTCAGTTCCGTATGTCATCACTGGCAACACGCACTGGTTGTACAGTCTCGTTTTCAAGTTTTGAGGTATACCTGACGAGAAGATGTGCCGTAATTTCCCGAACGCTGCCCAACCGAGTTGAATCCGTCGATTGACCTCTCGGTCGAAGTTGGACTTACCTAGTCGGACTATTTGTCCCAGGTAAACATACTCGTCAACAACTTCGAGCTTAGTGCTTCCAACAACTACCGGCATAGGTGTGACATGGACATTGAACATGATCTTTGTTTTGTCCATGTTCATCTTAAGACCTATCCGTTGGGAAACACTATCGAGGTCATTGAGCATAGTGCTTAGGTCCTCCAGCGATTCTGCCATAAGGACTATATCGTCGGCAAATCGAAGGTGAGTGATGTACTCGCCATTGATGTTGATACCGTATCCTTTCCAGTCCAGAAGCTTGAAAACGTCTTCCAATGCAGCGGTGAAGAGTTTCGGGGATATGACGTCACCCTGTCTTACACCTCTCTGCAATTGGATAGGTTTCGTACTCTGGTTCTGTACTCGGATAGCCATCGTAGCCCTACTGTACAAGCACTTCAACACTTCGATATACCGACAGTCAACTTGGCACCGCTGAAGGGACTGCAGCACCGCCCAAATTTCGACGGAATCAAAGGCTTTCTCATAGTCCACATACGCCAGACATAGTGGCAAATTGTACTCTTCGGACTTCTGTACAATTTGCCGAAGGGTATGTATGTGGTCTATGGTGCTAAAGCCCTTTCGGAAACCGGCTTGTTCGGGAGGCTGGAAGTCGTCAAGTCTGCGCGCGAGACGATTCGTAATGACTCTCGAAAACAGCACGTAGACGCGGCTCAGAAGGGAAATCGGTCTGTAGTTCTTCAAGAGAGCGTTGTCACCTTTCTTGAAGAACAAGACTACCGCACTTCTGCTCCACGCCTACGGTGTAATGCCACCATGGAGGACGGAATTAAATCAACTTCTCGGCTTTAAAATAATTTAAGAAAATGATTCCATGCAAACGAAGTCGCGAGCAAAGCTAGTATTTTATAGAGTTTGAACTATGCGGAACATATTATAATACTACGAGTATATATATGTCTAACATATTCTGCATAGGTCAAACAATGTAGGCTGACTACTTCGCGATAGTACTTACAAATGGTCCCATTTCGACCTAATCATTGATAGTTCAAACCAGTATAACATCATACGTCTTTTAACCTCGTTTAAGTTTGGTACATTTGGCGGATGTACTGAATTGTGAACTGAAATGTTTTTTACTTGGTAGAGCCATGCTGCAGCTATATTACTGGTATAGTTGTACCACGAATAGATCGGCTCGACCGTTGGAAGGACCACGCTCTCACAGAATACCAGCGTAAAATAGCAGCTTAACGCTGATGTGTTTCGTATGGTGAGTGTAGAGAACCGGAGATCCTTTTTACCGGAAACGAGGTATTCCATCTTGGTCCGCAGGGTATAAAGCATCTGCATTTTGCTTCGTAATAGAGGATGGATGTAGATGTCTATGGCCTACAGCAACCACTTACCATCTGGTGGACTGTGTGCTCGTTTGTCACCCATAACCTTTTAAAAAAAATTTTTAATTTATATAAACCAAAATTACTATAAATAAAACTTCTTTTGCCTATTTATGATTTTATTTGCGGTCTTTATCGTAGTGGACTAAAAGTACATTTAAGGAGTTTTAAATTTTAATAACGGCCTTATCTTTTGCAAAAAGTTTTTATGAGCTTTTTAATGATATTACGGAATACGTTATATTTCACGCAGCTTTACGACAAAAAGCATCCAACACACTAAAAGCTTCTTTTGAGATATTGACGCTTGAAACTTGGATCGATTTATGATGATAATCCACTGCTTTTTTGTTTTGTAATTTTACTGTTTATCTACCTTATAAATTATGTTGGTATTTTCTGACCCGAGTGCGGCGACAGAGGAAAAGAAACAAGGAAATGGGCAGCAGCGTCTTCAATATAACAACTAGAAAGAAAAAAAGTGGTTGCCAACCCGCCTGTCAAGCGTGGAAACTATGGCCCTTATCATGTCATCTATGGGGAACCCTATGATTAGCAGTTGAGTTTGATAGTCTGTAATGAATGATCCGAGGGTAGGTTGAATCCTTTTTGCATACTCACATCCAATTGCCAAAATATGAAAATTTACATTTTGTTAATTGTTCCAGACCGCGAAGACCAGTCGATCCTGTGCACGGGTGAGTCGGGCGCCGGCAAAACAGAGAACACCAAAAAGGTCATACAGTATTTGGCGTACGTCGCCGCATCCAAACCCAAAGGATCAGGAGCGGTAAGGCCCTAATTTCTAATTCTTACTTATTTTACAATTTACATTAAGTTTTGAAGATATACAGGTCACATTTTACCCAAAAAATTTGGTATAATATAAAGTAGGGTACACATAATTTGAATTTAGATATTTCAATCGCTTCTTTAATTTAAAAAAATATTATTTAAAATTAAAAATTTTGTACAACCGACTTCAATATCTATTTTTTTAATTATTAAGAATAACTCAAAAACTATTGGTCAGACCTTGATCAGATTTATATGGGACCACATGTGAAGCATCCGCTTTCAAATAAAAAAGAATCGTCGAAATCGGTTCACCCAGAAAGAAGTTATGAGGGAACACACATTAAAAAAAAACATACAGTCGAACTGAGTACCGTCTCCTTTTTGAAGTCGGTAGAAAAGAGGTTACTTTAGTAGGAAAATTTCAAAAAATATATAAAATCCTTTTATTTCTTTTTTCAAATTTTTTCTTTTTTGAACCTTTTCAGATGTTTTCTTTCACTCTTTCCGTAGTATTGTAAATAAAATTTATTTTATTGTTTATAAAATGATTTCTTTTTACTTTTGTATAACAACAATAGTTATGAACCTGAATTGTCTTATCAATTTGCGACGAGAATTATTTACATTTTCTTTATAATGTTTTTATTAAGTTTAATCTATTTTGAAGTAATTTTGTGTATTTTTTGTTGATTATTGAAGCGCTTTCTGTATTGGTTCGAGTATCGTATCCGGGTAAGGATTTATTTCGTGACAACACTATAGTAAAGCCAGCAGTAGGTAGTAGGCTCACAAAGTGTATATTTTAGTTAGTCTTAATAAAATATGTAAAAATTGTGTACGTTCGGTAAATTAGACTAGTACACATTTTTTTCCAAGACAACACAGACCCATGTTGAATCACTGCTAGACCGCGTTGGAAATCCAAAAATACATAAGAGTATGTAATTCATCACCTATATCATATCATTACGTATTTTTAGATGATTCGCAATACAATATTATGTTACGGCTTAGAGGTCGCAGCTCGCAGTGCGGTTACACTTCCGAGTAGGTATAGGGTTTATATCTCTATTAAAAATAGCATAGCAATTAGCGGTGCTCGAAGGATTGCATTAGAACGCCGCGCTATCGCTAACAGTGTGTTATCACCCTAAGAGTCAACTATAAACAGAACGATGAGTGAGCTCTGGGTGTGGTCTCAACTCTCAACATATTTAATATTAAACTTTATTAAATACGATGATGACTCATGAGCTATATATCACTTTGTACCGATATGGATAAAATTCGTTATTTTATTTGTAACGTGTATTTGAAATTTAATTTCAACGTTTTTAATACTACATTTTATACTTGAACAAATATTACAATGTAAATAAAGTTATGATGTTAAATTATATATCTTCTTTCTCATATATATATCAAGATGTTTGTATGTGGAATTTATTTGTCCTCCTTCCTGTTTAAAGGTTGAACTACCTTTGTAGAAATACTAGAAGAAATGTATTACAATAAAGTTTCGATTTCGAAGTGTCATTTTATTATATTCAGTTGAATTCATAGTTTTTTGTGGGTTGTCTTTGCCTTAAGATGAATACATAATATAAAATTGTAACAATTCACAGCTAGTTTTATAAAATCTTGCACGGCTTACTAAGATCGAAAATGAAATTAAACAAAACACATTCAAATATATTTAACACACTCAAATAATAAGTAAATGAATAAGTACATGAATGCTCAATACAAGTTTAATGGATGCGTATGATCCCGAACTTTTATCTCGAAGTAATCACTAAGTGAATGTTTTTTTCTTGCGTGTACTTTTGTAACATATTTTTTTATTTTTCCCCCACCTTCTCTGCACCCGGCTGTTGATGACCACAGGGACCGTCGCCGCAATTGATTATAGTAAGTCAGAAAGAAACAACTTGGAACTTGCTTCAAACATTGGGGGGTATTTCCGTAGCATTTCATCCATACAAATATTTAACACAACGTTCGCCAATTAAGTAATTGTTTTTGGTAAATACATTTGACCAAATTTTATATTACGTATTTGATTTGGATGGACATGCAACGGAATTAAGCACTAATCTTGGTGTTTCATTTTAATCAAAAAAGTTGTTCTTTAAGTTTGTTTGCATGTTCTACTTTGGGATATTATATTTGTATTTGTCATCTGCTTTTCAGGTATCTAACATTACATAAATTTGACAAACATCGCTCATAATATGTGACTAACAGTTTGTCGATTTGCTTATTTCACAAAAATCATTCGCACCATTATTTGCATAACTTATTGGCTTCTTTCATTTCGATTGCATTTTTTAATTACGTTTAACAGTGGTAGAGCCACGCGGCAGCTTTTGATGTCGCACGGATGGGCCGGCTCGAACCGGGGTGGTACCACGACCTCACAAATACCAGCGTGAAGTAGAGTTTTACCTCTGCGTTTCGCTTGGTGAGTGCTGGTGGCCGGAGGCCCATTTTACTGGAAATGAGGCATTCCATCTTAGTCCTCACGGGTGACAACGCATCTGCATTTTGATTTGTAACAGAGGATGGATGTAGATGTCTATGGGCCGCAGTAACCACTTACCATCAGGTGGACTGTGTGCTCGTTTGTCACCCTTATCCTATAAAAAAAAACCTTGTCAGGTGTTTTTAACTCGCGCATAAAATCAAAAGATCGGTCAATAAACTAAACATACAGTGAGTTAGCAACAAATAGTAACCAGTGGGTATTGAACCTATGACGTTATTTTTGCATTCTTTACATTTGGAATAATATTACGAGAACAAAGCTGAAATACTTAGTTCTGAATATGACCGTTATATTATTTACTTTCGACCTTTTTGTCTGACGCTTAGAAAGTTTCGCGATAAGCGTTATCATTGGACATTGTTTTTCCGTGCGTAATTAATTACATAAATACTCGCTGTTCCTCTGGTGATAACATAGTAGTTGTGCGAGAGAGATAGCATATGTAATCGGGGATCGGTACAGTAGCCATCCAGATCAATGGTAAATAGTAACAAACGCACAGAGGTTCATTTCATACATTATGTATACGGTATGTCTGTTATGTATGACGTACATTTTAATGGCATATTATGTAGTCAGAAGATGACTGTAGATTGTATTTAAATTAATGGCAAATAAATTATAAAAATTAATGCACTTAAAGTAGCTACATAATTTACGTGATCGATGGCCAAACAAACGTTACTCAATTTCAAGATGTCGTTAAGTTTCATGGTGTCACAGTAACTTTGACTTAAAGTGACAGAGACGGCACAAGACTCAACGGCGTCTTATAATAGAGAATTTGGACAAGAGCGACGCTTTACCTGGTAGAGCCACGCTGCAACTATAATATGGTTGTAGCACGAATGGTATGGCTTGATCCGTGTCGTAAGATTATGGGCGATTAAATTGAAAACGTCTGTAATATGGCTTCCGGTAGAGATGGCTTAATAAACTTGTCGTTTACGCATCATCGCGTCAAGAGTGCGGGACATCTGGCACTGCGGTCGTCAATCTCCCCGCCAGGCGTTACGATTAACTCTACAACAGGAGAGGCTCATGTCCAGTTTTTAACTTTTACGGGATAATACCGTTACCGTTACAGCCTATTAAAGTCCACTGTTGAAAATAGGCCTCTCTGATAGGGATGATATTTGCCATAGTTGCCACGCTTGGCAAGCAGTTGGCGACCGCAGTTTTTTTTAATTTTAGTCGTTAGCCTGAAGGCGCTGATGCCAATCTCCTGATTTGTTTCTCTCTGTCGCCTCTTACGACACCCACGGGATGATATGGGTTGTGGATATTCTAACAACGCCCACTACACGGCACGGGATGATAAAGAAAAAAAAAGAACATTAAAAAAATAAAAAAAAAGAACATTAAAAAAATAATACCTACCAGTCAATCCATTACATTAACATTTTTGTTGACGAACTAGAAGTAAGTTTAATATATTTGTTTGTTTGGGAACGTTTGATTCGAACCCATTACTTACTTTTTTTAGTTTCGACAGTCCGTACCGTCACGCTTTGGTTTCCTATCGTTTCAAAACGATAAAAAAGTACATTATTAGAAATATTTAGTAGTTGTGAGTGGTCATAATAGTATTTCTTTTAACTATGTTACGCCCGTCAACGTCGATTGCGCTGAAAATGTTAATTACGATGTATCGATTGAGATTATTGATTGATTAATTAAGTGAATAATCGATATCGACTCATGCATATTTACTGTTTTATAAAAACGCGTTATATATTAACTATGATGTATTCATGAATGCTTTTAACACTATTTGAATTATGCACCTGGTGAACAAGCTTATTAAATAAATATCTTACTAGAATATATCTAAATAACTTCTTTAATATTGCTTAAAAATATAATTACATTGCTACCATTCAGCTTTACCAAACAATCGCAATATTTTCATCATATCAAAGCAATTTTCATTAACACTACCATTTTTCACGCTGCTTTTAACAAAAGAGCAACGGACCTACTTTTGAGGTAACGATCCATCGCTATTTCGAGTCCTTAGAATGTACATTGGCTTGCTTATGTGTACTCCGTCTGCGATATTTTACACATTGTACATAATATTCCCTGGAATAAGATGTGTCCGGATTGAATTTAATAGAAGTGTTTGATATGAAGGTGCCACAGATAATAAAGGGTAATTCATTTATCAATTTACGACCTCACTAATTAAAATCGAAGTCAATTTAAGTAATGATAGTAGTTGCTCCTTCTCCTTTCACTAAATGACTATAGAAAGATACATCAATACTTAATTAAGTAAGCGATAATAATCAACGATTATAAGTGAGGCTGTCTTTACTTTGTACTAACATCTGTATTAAAGAACATATTCATTCGAAATTCAGAATAATTTGCGCAAATAGTTTTGTAGTAATTTTGTACGATGCGATGAAAACGTAAGGGAATTCATCACCGCTTTTGTCTCAAGTAAAGGTTGACTAAGAGAATCATTAACACAACATTCTTTTGTATAAAATTAAATTATTCTGTGGTTGCTGACTTGAAAGAAACCTGTCACCAGCGAAGAAAATGTAGTTAATAGTTTTATATGTTTATTAACATTTTTAGCTCCCATTTAAAACATTTCCATAGTAATGGACAGTTTATTTTTATTGTGGCCATACATTTATATATTGCATATTTCATATTATATGTTTTTACGCAAGCTTTATTATATCTTTATGTATGAGTGTTTTTTTTTCTAATTAATACAATATATTATGTCACATTTATTAATGATCTGTACATAAATTTTTGACCGTATTGTAGGGCGAGCTGGAACAACAGTTGCTGCAAGCTAATCCAATTCTGGAGGCTTTCGGTAATGCGAAGACAGTCAAAAACGACAACTCCTCGAGATTTGTAAGTATATTATAATAAATAATACATGTTTTTTAATTATCACAGTGTCAATGTTAAAACCCAGAACGTACCGTATTTCGCAACTTGAGTGTGACAAAATGTCAATAAAGACAGCCTGAAAAATTTAGTACCCTTCGACAGATGATCTTATCAATTTCATTATGATCCACACCCGAGACGGAATACAACGAAACTAAAGCATTCTAGTCTTCTTCCATTAATTTTTGTTGCATTGCAGCTTGAATAAAACTATTGTTACGGATATTAGCGCTTTTAATTTATTTATTTTTAATTCCCGACGTTTCGTGTGCTTTACAGCAGCTATGGTCACGGGGAGGACTGACGTGATTGACGTCCCGACGTCACAGTTAGACCGTCTACCTTCAGCTTTTGAATATTTAATAAAGGCAGCCGGGCTAACTATTAATCGGGGCAATGGATGCTGTAAAGCACCCGAAACGTCTGGAATTAAAAATAAGTAAATTAAACGCGATAAAATCCGCAAAAATAGTTTTATTCAATGTATTGTAGTATTCGCGATATAAGAAATCATTATGCATTGCAGATATTCATGGCCCACTGAACCACTGTAACATTAAGTCAAAGTTTTTTCAACGTGGTAGAGCCATGCTGCAGCTATATTAGTAGTATAGTTGTAGCACGAATGGGTCGGCTCGACCGGGGAAGTACCACGCTCTCACAGAATACCAGAGTAAAATAGCCGCTTGACACTGCTGTGTTTCGCATGGTGAGTGTAGAGAACCGGAGACCAATTTTACTGGAAAAGAGGCATTCCATATTAGTCCTCACGTGTGATGACGCATCTGCATTTTGATTCTTTGTTGAGGATAAATATAGATGTCTATGGGCCGCAGCAACCACCTACCATCAGGTGGACTGAGTGCTCGTTTGTCACCATGTCCTATAAAAAAAGTGCACTGTAAGTTTGTATGTCACGTCATTTTATAAAAAAGAGATCGAATTCAAAGTAGTGCCTGTTTCTATATATAATTGTCATCAGTTAATAAATAAGTACTCGTATAAGGACCGGTTACAGTCCTGTAGCGACGATGATAATGACTTTACTTCCCTCGGCGCTAACGGCCTGCTTCATAATTGAATGCATATATTGTAGTACCTGTATGCGGTGAACTATCTTGGAGTAATGCCAAACATTCGTATCAATGAATAACGTTTGTGTGGCTGTAATTTATTTATTCGTATATTATGTACATACATTATATTATGCGGTATGAAGCATTGTTTGAAATCAAGTCGTTGGACTGTTGAAGTCCATTTGCAAGATATATTTTTAGTTAAAGTGAACCTAGCAAATAACTCCTATCGTTTTTTTAAACGTGACTTGGTGATACGGTCTTGTTGCAGTTGCACTGTACACTTCTTAATATGTATAAAGTTACAGTGATGAGAATGGGATCCCTTATAACGAGGCTTTCCAACCCAGTCCTCACAGGTAACAACGCATATGATTCTTGTTACTTCATCGAAGATAAATGTCGGTGTTTAAATACCACTATAAGGTAATCAAGTTATGTTCAAGTAAAAGCGAGAACCCCCGTAATAATATTAATACTTGGCACCTCAACTTAAATTTTTAAATATCTCACAATAAATTGTATTAGTAGACTTCGTGACCTAAAAACTCTACAATATAGTTACTTGAAGCCTTGAAATAACCTAAAACTGTAATAACCGACTTGGGACTTTACAAACCTTATTATTATTATATTCCAGGGTAAATTTATTAGAATCAACTTCGACGCGTCGGGATACATAGCCGGCGCAAATATCGAGACGTACTTACTGGAGAAGTCGAGGGCGATCAGGCAGGCGAAAGATGAGCGAACATTCCACATTTTCTATCAGCTCCTAGTTGGGGCCACGCCTCAACAGAAAGCAGAGTACATTCTAGAGGACCCCAAGAACTACCCGTTCTTGACCAATGGCTCGCTACCCGTCCCCGGTATCGACGACGCGGCGGAGTTCCAAGCGACCATCAAGTCCATGAACATCATGGGGATGAATATGGAGGACTTCAACTCTATCTTCAGGATAGTGTCCGCCGTGCTACTGTTCGGTTCGATGCAATTCAAGCAGGAAAGGAATTCGGATCAAGCGACGTTGCCCGACAACACTGTGGCGCAGAAAATCGCACATCTGCTAGGTAAGTGATGATTAGAGAATAATCACTTTTAACGTGTGATAGTAGCGTGAGATAATCTATCGGCCTGTTTAAATCGTGTGGATGTCGTAAGACGCGACTTTTTTTCTTTTTGTTTACTTTTTGTTAAAAAACGTGTTAGAGCCATGCTGCAGCTATATTACTGGTATAGTTGTAGCACGAATGGGTCGGCTCGACCGGAGAAGGACCACGCTCTCACAGAATACCAGCGGAAAATAGCAGCTTAATGCTGCTGTGTTTCGTATGGTGAGTGTGGAGAACCGGATACTCTTTTTACTGGAAAAGAGGCATTCCATCTTAGTCCTCACGGGTGACAACGCATCTGCATTTTGATTCGTAATCGACGATAGATACAGATGTTTATGGGCCACAGCAACCACTTACTAGCAGGTGGACTGTGTGCTCGTTTGTCACCCTTATCCTATTAAAATAAACCCCACACTAAGATTTTTTCCTGTATCGTAAAGGCAATTTACAAACATAAATTGCACAAGGACAAACATCCAGATCCGGAACAATTATTTGTAGGCCATACAAATACTTGTTCCGTGCGGGATTCGAACCAACGTCCCCAGCGCTGCAACGCATTGCTAAGCAACCGCGACACGGGGCCGACTATGGGCAATGCCTGAATATATCATAGCTGTCTACAAATATAACCATCGTGTTTACATGAGACGTAAATACAATGCCCAGACTGGTGACCGGCAGCAGCATCAGGGCTGGGAGACGTTTGGTCCTGCGATCACCAATGTGCCTGCCAAGCGTGGCGATTTTGCCTTAATCATCTCTACCTAAAATGGAGATGGCTTTATGGTTGATTAAGAATACCTTTCCATATGGTCCAAACATGAGATCAGAAAACCGCAGAAGACTGTCAACTCATGCAAAGGGTCTCTTCGAGTGGTAGTCAAATGTTTATACGTGGTAGAGCTATGCTGCAACTTTACTAATAGTATAGTTGTAGCACGTATGGATCGGCTCGACCGAATAAGGACCACGCTCTCACAGAATATCAGCGTAAAATAGCAGCTTAAGCTCCTGTGTTTCGTATGGTGACTGTAGAGAACTAGAGACCCTTTAAAAAAGGCATTCTATCTTAGTCCTCACGGCTGACAACGCATCTGCATTTTAATTCGCAGACGAAGATAGATGTAGATGTCTATGGGCCACAGCAATAACTTACCATCAGGTGGACTGTGTTCTCAGTTGTCACTCTTATACTCTAAAAAATAAAAAAGTCTTGTACCGATGAGTGATGCATAGGATGAACCACACTCCCATTTGGTACAGCTGGCACTTTGGAACAGCGGGAACAGCTTTGTGTCAGTTTTTGGGAGGTTTACGTTCTGCTGTAAGATTGTGACCGATCGGCCCCCAAACGCACGGTTTCATCAATAAAATCAGTAATCATAAAAATTGCATCAATAAATATTTTTTCCGGCATTGGTGGATTGTCCATTTGCAATTTATGAGTGTTAACGTCTCTACGGCTTAAAAGCAATTTATATAGTGCGATAAATTATTTAAAAATGCATTACACCACCATTTATAATAGTTGTAAAAAGGTTGAGTTTTTGTATTCTTACGGAGTATTGGACTTACTATATTAAACTGGCTGGTCAAGGTTATTTAAAACGCGTTACTTTACACCAAAGATTTATTGCCCTGAGACACACTCAATGTTCTCTCAAAGACTATAATATATTTAAGCACAGATAAAACAAGACCAACAGATACAAAGAGAACCAGACAGAAAGGTGCCACAATAATAATATATTTTAACAATAAAGATATGAAACTAACGAAAATCGTAAATCAAAACTGAGTATTCACATTATTTTTTATGCAGTAAAAGCAAAACCTTTTTTTTGGGTGAATTGCTGTCCATTTTCTTCATCATGTACACAATCGTACATATAGCGCACGCAATATGCGTACGCAATATACGTGCGCAGTGCGTGTACAGTGCCGCATCTTTACGTTGCAGAACGTGCTAGTTATACCAGGTACTCGACTCCAAAAGTCAGTAATTCCTTTATGGTTTTACAATAAAGTCCAAAAAAATGCATGTTCTTTTTATTTAGCAAAAATTATATTACTAAAGAGTACATGATTGATGTCTCCATTTTCTTCATCATGGAAATGTGGTGATTGCTACCATGCTGTTTCTAAATTTTTTGATACTTGATTGTATAAAATATTATATTGTAAATTAATGTTAAAAGAAAGTTCTGCTGGGTTTCTTGCTGGTTCTTCCCAGGACAGAGGTTGTTTTCCGAACCAGTGGCTTAAATGCCTTATTCTTGTAATCTATATTGCAGTGGCTTAAATGCCTTATTCTTGTAATCTATATTGAATAAAAATGATTCTATTCAATTAATTTGTATTCCAGGTCTTTCCGTGACAGAAATGACGAAAGCATTCCTAAAACCGCGTATCAAGGTGGGCCGCGACTTCGTGACGAAAGCCCAGACGAAAGAACAGGTCGAGTTCTCGGTGGAAGCGATAGGCAAGGCCTGTTACGAACGACTGTTCAGGTGGCTGGTGAACAGGATCAATAGGTCCCTCGACAGAACGAAGAGACAAGGCGCCTCATTCATTGGAATCCTGGATATGGCCGGTTTTGAAATCTTCGAGCTGAACTCCTTCGAACAGCTCTGTATTAACTACACGAATGAGAAACTGCAGCAACTCTTCAATCACACCATGTTCATCCTAGAACAGGAAGAGTATCAGAGGGAAGGTATCGAATGGAAATTTATTGACTTCGGACTGGATCTGCAGCCGACTATCGATCTTATCGATAAGCCGATGGGTATTATGGCCCTCCTAGACGAGGAGTGCTGGTTCCCGAAGGCCACCGACAAGAGCTTTGTGGAGAAACTCGTGTCGGCACACTCCGTTCATCCGAAGTTCATGAAGACCGACTTCAGGGGAGTCGCCGACTTTGCTATTATTCACTATGCCGGCAAAGTCGATTACTCGGCATCGCAATGGCTGATGAAGAACATGGATCCACTGAACGAGAACGTGGTCTCTCTTCTCCAATCGTCCCAGGATCCATTCGTGTGCCACATTTGGAAGGACGCCGAGATAGTCGGAATGGCACAGCAAGCGATGACTGATACACAGTTCGGTGCGCGGACAAGGAAGGGCATGTTTAGAACCGTCTCCCAGTTGTACAAGGAGCAGTTAACTAAGCTGATGGCGACACTGAGGAACACCAATCCGAACTTCGTCAGATGCATCATTCCCAACCACGAGAAGAAGGCTGGCAAGATCGAAGCGCCTTTGGTGCTAGACCAGCTAAGATGCAATGGTGTGCTTGAAGGTATCAGAATATGCAGACAGGGCTTCCCCAACAGGATACCCTTCCAGGAGTTCAGGCAGCGGTACGAGCTGTTAACGCCCAATATCATTCCCAAAGGATTCATGGACGGGAAGAAAGCTTGCGAGCAGATGATCGAAGCATTAGAGCTCGACCACAACTTGTACCGTGTTGGACAGTCCAAGATCTTCTTCAGAGCAGGGGTGTTGGCACATTTGGAGGAGGAGAGAGATTACAAAATCACGGACCTGATCGTGAACTTCCAGGCGTTCTGTCGTGGTTACCTCGCCAGAAGGAACTACCAGAAGCGTCTGCAGCAGTTGAACGCTATAAGGATTATCCAGAGGAACTGTGCTGCGTACCTCAAACTCAGGAACTGGCAATGGTGGAGGCTCTACATAAAGGTGAGCATTATGTATTTTTTTTTCCTTCATAAAAAAACAACAATTGAAAAAAAAAAGTATTCTCAGAGCTGATATATTTAATCCTATAACACTTAAAGACTTTAGATACTATTGACACATTGAACATTCTAAACTAATAAAAGATATTTAGATAATGGAAACATACTGTGTCAACAATAGAATTCCCATAGTACTAGCTATTATCATATGAAGGTATTCCAAACATGTACAGTCATACTAACATTAGTCAATATCCTTTATGTTTTGAAAATATCTTTGCTCCATATTATAGAAAGCCTTTGTGCTCAGAAATGTACTATTTCAATTGTTAATTATTCAGTACTTTAGTTATGAAACTGGTGCTTATTGAATATACAGACAGATAGAGGGTTTATGGCTATTGATGTAAATTCTAAAGTTAAAAGAATGTCCTTAATAATAAAATATATACATATACGAGGGGTGATCCAAAAGTAATGATAATGAAAATAAAACACGGTAATTAAAGTTAAAATAATAATTTATTTTTCTACATAGTCTCCTAACAAATCAATACATTTAGTCCATCTTTTTTATAAACCCAGGATTCCCTTTGAAAAAAATTCTTTGTCTTGACCCTCCCAAAACGCTTCAACAGCGGCCATTACTTCGCTATCGTCTTCGAATTTCTTGCCTCGGAGGCGTGCCTTGAGCCGAAGCAAGAGGTAGAAATCACTAGGAGCTAGATCTGGCGAATAGGGAGGGTGATCGAGCAGTTCGAATCCCGTTTCTTGAATGGCAGCCATCGCAACTGCGGCTTTGTGAGCCGGTGCGTTGTCTTCGTGAAACAGCACTTCAGCTCGCAGTTTGCCGCGTCTTTTTTCCTTAATGGTCTCCCGTAATCTTCTTATTTGGTCTGCGTAGTAAGAGCCCGTAATAGTGGCTCCCTTTTCCAAATATTCCACCATAATTATGCCTTGAGCGTCCCAAAAAACAGATGCCATAACCTTTCCCGCCGAACTTGAAACTTTGAACTTCTTTGGCGTCGGTGAGGAGGCTCGCTTCCAAGTCATCGATTGTTGTTTCGTTTCAGGATCAAAATGGTGGATCCAGGTCTCGTCCATAGTGACAAAACGGAACAAAAAAATTTCTTGATCTGCTTGGAACTTTTCGAGATTGACCCTCGAAATATCAACTCGATTTTCCTTTTGCTCGTCAGTTAACATTCTGGGTACCCAACGCGCAGATACCTTTTTCATATGCAACTCGTTCGCAAGGATTCTTTGAACGCTGCTATATGAGATCCCTGTGACCTCAGCTACATGCCTGATGGTCACTCTTCGATCTGCCAACACAACATCTTCGACTTTTTTCATGTTGTCTTCAGTGAGGGATGTAGATGGGCGTCCTTGGCGATGTTCATCTTCAGTGGATGTTCTGTCCAGTTTAAACTCCTTGGCCCAGCGTGCAACTGTAGAATATGGAGGAGCAGAGTCCCCCAATGTTTCCACTAAGTCACTGTGTATGTCTTTTGAAGACATTTTTGTCAAACAGAGGTACTTGATGACAGCTCTAATTTCGTTTTTCTCCATGTTGAAGTTATCTCTTTGACAGTTCGTATTCAAATGAATGTATCTCCCGGAAATCGTGATCTATTTATATGATTTTTTTAGGCTGACGTAGTGAGTATATAAACAAGCAAAAAATATTTTTTTTGGATTTTTATGCGGACCTGAAGTAACCGATTATCATTACTTTTGGATCATCCCTCGTATATTATCATAAGTACATACATACATACATACATACATATTTACAGTATTTGACAACATACATTTATAACATTGTTTTAAACAGAGCTATTGGTTAAAATTACAAATGATATATTTAAACGTAATATTTGTAATAATTGATATTCATCAGCTTTTTGCATATATTTTTTTTTCAATTTCATCTATAAATTAAAAAAAAAACAATGCATTAGAGTTAAACTTATCAAAGTAGAAAAAGGAAATTGCTAAAGTATTGTCCAAAGAAAAAGAATTGTTCTAAATTTATTTTCATATTATTCTATCATTGGTAACAATAATTATTTTCAACTAGCTGTTCCCCGCGACTTCGCCCGCGCGGAGATTTTTTGGGTAGAACTAAAAAAGTAGCCTAAATTACTGCTTATAACATCAGCTATATGTTTTTGCGTGGTACGTGTTCCCGTCAAAATAGCTCGTAGATGGCAGATTTTTGTCAGACTTACTTGTTATTTATCATTATATTTTGGCCAATTTACACAATATTTTTATGAATTATAGCTTATGTGTTATTCTGATGTATGAGCTATATTATTGTAATGTTTCATTAAAATCGATTCAGTCGTTTTTGAATGAAAGAGTAACAAACATCCATACATTCTCACAAACTTTCACATTTATAATATTAGTTGGATAGTAAGATTATATCACTGAATGGGTGTTTTTATGTATTTTTTTTGTTTTTGTACTAAAATAGGCAAAATATACAACCAGAGCTTATATGTACTTATGATAATTGTACAAATTCCAGGTGAAACCTTTGCTAGAAGTAACGAAACAAGAAGAGAAACTAACACAAAAGGAAGACGAGCTCCGCCAGATCAGAGATAAGTTAGATACACAGATGAAGCGATGCCAAGAGTACGAGCAGAAGTACCAGCAAGCGAACCAGGAGAAGACGCAGCTCGCCGAACAACTGCAGGTGTGTACATTATCTTACCAATCATCTTTTTTAAGAAGGTCACTATAAATTTGACTATGAGTAACACAAAACTTGTCACTCGATCCTATAAAAAAAAACATCAATACTAAATTATGCTAGAATTTAAAATAAATATAGCCAAATGTTTATTTTATCTAATAACTAGCTGACCCGGCGAACTTCGTACTGCCTAACAGTAGATTTTTTAATTGTTTTTAATACTTATTCTGCTATTCGGGACACCGGGTCAGCTAGTAAGTTAAAAAAAGTATAAAGAAAGTTGATAAGTCAACAATTACATTATGTCAAAAAAAATTTATAAAACACTTAAAATTCTTTTAATAATCACTAAAAATCATAGTGAAACTTACAATCTCTGATTTCTTATTATGGTACCTACCATTGAGTTATATGTACTACGTACTAGAGAAGCCATTCCGAGCATTGACATGTTCAACTGAACTGTACTGCAATCCGTACAAATTAAATATTGCATAAATTGAAGATTTGTGAATTACATAACATTATTATTACATTTTATTTTGAAATATAATATGTTTGTTTAGATTAAATTAAGATATTTTATATTAAATTCTTATATTTATTTTATATTAATATCTTATTTTATATTAAAGTCTTCGCGCATGCGAGACTACTACTCCCGCGCATCGCGAAGACATAGAGTAGGACACAATTTTTGTTTGGAATGGCTTCTCTAGTACATAGTACATATAACCCAATGGTACCTACTTATTATATTTCATTTTATTTTTACTTATTCTAATTGACAAATATTGACATTAGTATTACGTATACTAATGTCACTGAATTGTTTTGCCTTCCCGGAACCCCTCTACTAACACTTTAACTTTATGGTATGGTATTAAAGTTCAAATTGACTTTTAAGTATTATTACGAATCTTTTGTATGGGAATATAGAAAAGTATTGTTTTTGGATTTTTTCAGGCAATCTTTTAAATTTTCTCTCCGTAAGAACCATCTTCGTACTTAGAATTAGCGATATCGGTTCAGCTGCTCTCGAGAATTGCGCTTAGCAACAGATTCAGCGATTCATTTTTATATTATAGATATCAAAAATTGCTTCACTTAAGATAAAACATACATGAGTGCTCCCAATCTACGAGGGGAGATCAAAAAGTTCGCGGAATGAAAGGCATTAATTATTAAAAAAATATTTTATGTTTAAATAATTAAACATAAAATATTTTTTTCTTTTTGATATATTCTCCATTAATCCTAATACCGTTCAAATAACTTATTTATACCTTCGAAAAAACATGTTTTGTCAAGACCCTCAAAATAGGCAGAAATTGTAGACTTCACAAGCCCTTTATCATATTTGGCTACAAATAATAACCGGAGGATCCTAATCTGGACTAAATGGAGGGCGGTTTAAAGTTTCGAAGCCGCATTTGTGTAAGGAAACCATCAACAACATGACTCTTGTGAACGGGTGCGTTTTCGTGCAAAAGGAGCATACCTCGAAACGATTTTCCCCTTCTTTTTTTATGATAGCATCTTTTAATTTTTCAAGTAGCGTGACGTAATACTTTCTCGTGATGTTAGCACCTTTATCTTTATAATCGATCAATGAAATCCCTTGAACTTCTTAGGCGGTGCTTACGCCTTTTATGCCACTGCATGGACTCCTGATTTGACTCAGGTCTATAGTGATGAACCCAATTCACATCCCCAGTCGCTATTCGGTTCATAATTTCGTCTTGGTTCTCACTACACAGGTCCAAAACTTACGCGAACACTCGACCCGCTGCCGTTTATGAAGCGGTGTGGGCTCTTTTGGCACCCATCTTCTACAGACCTTAGACATGCTAAGATGGTCATGGGGAATGTTTGAAACGGTCTTAGAAGTTACTTCAGTTATTTCTGCGATCTATTTTATCGCATTTTTGAGCATTTTAATGAACAAGTTTTTTAACTTTTTCGACAATTTCTGAGGAAGTTGCCTCAATCGGTCAGTCTGAGTGCTGATCGTCTTCACTTGAGTCTCTGCCTTTCTTGAAAAGGCAATGCCATTTATAAATCATCGTTTTTCCAGAGCAAGAGTCCCCGTAAACAGTTGACATCTCTTTCATAATGATATGTGATGATTTTCCGTGCTAAGTGAGGAACTTAATCACGGCACGAAACTTAATTTTCTCCATACTAATTATGTTCACTTCCCTATTGACTTGTTAATCCTGTGATATCTCAAAGGTTAATGAACCGATCTGGCTGAAACTTGGTATATATAGTTGTATTAATTCACTAAGTAGTGACAGTTAAAAAAATCCCACCTCCCTTCTCGAAGTCCTCCATTCCACGAACTTTTTGACCCGCCCTCGTAGGTATGAGGGGTTTTATACCTGGCGATATGTTTGTGTATTCGCCTATTACATTAGCAGTCATTTATTATAAGTCCACTATTGATACCGTGTAGTGGACAACCACTATCCCATGTCAACCCGTGGGTGTCGTAAGAGGCGACATAGGAAAACAAATCAGGAGATGGGCAGCAGCGTATATCCTAATCTTCTATACAAATAAATACTTACTTAACTTAATCAGAGCTGATAAAAGTAAATATATAAAATTGAATGATATAATGTTTTAAATACTTAAATTCTTTTACCAGGCGGAGCTGGAGCTGTGTGCAGAGGCTGAAGAGAGTAGAGCGCGAGCCGCTGCACGCAAGCAGGAACTGGAGGAACTTCTGCATGATCTGGAGGGCCGCATTGAGGAAGAAGAGGAGCGCTGTAACGCACTGCAGCTAGAGAAGAAACGGTTGCAACTCAACATTCAGGTACATAGTAGAATTAGTTAGTACAGACAGATTTTTCTGTTTTAACTTGATATTTAGGAGGTTAAAATCCAACCATTTTTATCATTTTTAAATTGAACATCGCAATAAACAGCTGTTTATTGCGATGTTGTTTGTAACGATACTTGTGGATTTATACTTGATAGACTATTGCTGTAGCTATATATTTGTAGCACGAATGGTCGGCTTGACAGGGGAACTACCGCGCTCTCACAGAATACCCATGTAAGATACCACCAGCAGCAGTGTTTCATTGGTGAGTGTAGAGTACCAGAGACACTTTTTACTGCAATACATGGTATTCCATCTTTGTCTTCAGGGGTGACAACACATCTGTGTTTTGATTCTTAATCAAGTTCGCTTGTTTGTTACCTTTATTCTATAAAAAAATTATACTGGCAACACTAGATCATTAAGATGTCATCTCCACTTACTGTTACCAGTCAGATGTGTGTTACCAGCACACTTGTACCCTGGCTGGGTGCTGGACGATCACCAAAGTAGGTAGTAGTAGTAATAGCTCTAGACTTTTTAATTTTCTGGCCCATTTTCATCACTTTAATAATATCTACATTACATTGTTGATATGTGATTTTGATATTATCAAAGTGATGAAAATGGTATGTTATGTCGATATTATCAAAGTGATTAATTTTAAGAGAAATATTACAAATTTTCTTCTATATAGTACCCAATGGACTACTTTATATTAATGTTCACTAATAGTCTGTTTTCCAATAGGATTTGGAGGAACAGCTGGAAGAAGAGGAAGCAGCCCGCCAGAAGTTACAGCTGGAGCGCGTGCAGTGCGACGCCAAGCTCAAGAAGCTAGAGGAGGACCTCGCGCTCAGCGAGGACACCAATCAGAAGCTGATCAAGGAGAAAAAGGTATAAGCTTCTCTTAATATTTCACCAGGTAGCTTGGTACATTTTTCTTTTGGGAATCCATCTGTTTCAGGTCACTTTCATAGCTATTTAAGGTGCGAGAGCCAGTATAACTACTGTAAAGTATATTGAATAGATAGCCTACATGCATCCCACTTCTGGACACATATCTAACTCTTTTATCTAAGAGATTTTTTTGGGAAAAAGAAAAGCTGTCCTTTATTATTTTAGTGCTCCATACATCATGTACTTGATCTCAATCGTGAAATTTTGAAGGGATTGCTCTACCCATGAACTACTATAACTCAATATCTACTATCACGGGAGTCAGCTACAGTGTTGCAGGTTCTTTTGTATACTACTATTTAAAAAAAATAGGAACTAGTTTTATTTCTTTAAAGTTCGTTTTATATGCACACTTTATTCGTACCTTATGACATCACGATACTAATTAATATAAAAAAAAATCTGTTATTAGATCTTGGAGGAGCGCGCCACGGACTTGTCGCAAGCACTGGCTGAAGAAGAGGAAAAGGCCAAGCACCTTGGCAAGCTCAAAGCCAAGCAGGAATCTGCCATCGCTGAACTTGAAGAGAAGTTGCTCAAGGTATGTTTTATTCACCTATATATTTTGCTACTAAGAAAGTTATAATAACAAGTTGTTATCATAGTTTTAGATTTGAAAGATTAATGTCCCACGAATGCAGATATCATAAAGCCTGTAAGTGGAAGTTTAAGTAAAATCTAATATAGCTCAAGACATAAGGTGTTATCCGGAATGACAACGAAGCGTTTGTATCATTTATAAAATTAATGGGGAAAAAGGTTCTTGAGATACAGCTATTATAAATGAGCATGGTTTGGAGTGTCAAGTAATGTTGAAGTGACGATCTCGTGAAGCATGCAGTGAATTGATAGATGCAGGTGCATCAAGCCTATGGTTAATGACAACCTTTTTACTATGTGTTGCAATGACTATAATAATATTTTACAGGTTTAAAATTTCATTAGTGGGCATTTAAAATTTGTCAGAAATATTTGAAAAGTACTTTAGAAATACATAGTTGTATGTGTAAATTAAAAAATAGAATTATTATATTTAATTATTATAATGAATTTTTCAAATGTGAAATTTTTTAATGTTCATTATTGTATGTTGCAGGACCACCAACTTCGTCAAGAAGTTGACCGCGCGAAGCGGAAGCTGGAAACAGAATTACAAGATGTCAAGGAGCAACTTGCAGAGAGGAAAGCGCAAGTTGAGGAGTTGCAGATTGTTCTTGGTAAGCTATTGATGGTTTTGAATTTTAAAGATGACAGAAGTCTAAATCTGTATTAATTACTGCAATTTAAGAAGTGTTCTTATATGATAAAGTTAATTTAAAAATTTCTTCATTCATTATAGACCTTCACCGATTCTATACTGAACATAGGCTTCCCCCAAGGAATGCCACAAAATACAGTTAGATATTTTATTTCGTTACAGCTTATGAAAGTCCGGTGCGTCTGCTGCCCATTTCCTAGTTTTTTTTCTCGTCTCTTACGACACCCACGTGACGGGTGGATGTTTTAACATCGCCATTACACGGTTTCGGCAAATATTTTATTCATTTTAGGCTTATTCAAATTTGTAATGGTCCTATTACTCCCAGAAATTTGTGTCAGTGGGACGTATGGACGATGTAAGTTGACAAGCATTGTGTGTGCAGCAAAGTGTGAGGATAATTTGGCTAGAGTGGGCTGGAGTTGGCTGGTCCTATAACTCCCAGAAATGTTTGTCAGTGGGACGTATTGACGATGTAAGTTGACAAGCATTGTGTGTGCAGCAAAGTGTGAGGATAAGTTGGCTAGAGTGGGCTGGAGTTGGCTGGTCCTATAACTCCCAGAAATGTATGTCAGTGGGACGTATTGACGATGTAAGTTGACAAGCATTGTGTGTGCAGCAAAGTGTGAGGATAAGTTGGCTAGAGTGGGCTGGAGTTGGGTGGTCCTATAACTCCCAGAAATGAGTGTCAGTCCGACGTATTGACGACGTAAGTTGACCAGCATTGTGTGTGCAGCAAAGTGTGATGATAAGTTGGCTAGAGTGGGCTGGAGTTGGCTGGTCCTATAACTCCCAGAAATGTATGTCAGTGGGACGTATTGACGATGTAAGTTGACAAGCATTGTGTGTGCAGCAAAGTGTGAAGATAAGTTGGCTAGAGTGGGCTGGAGTTGGCTGGTCCTATAACTCCCAGAAATATATGTCAGTGGGACATATTGACGATGTAAGTTGACAAGCATTGTGTGTGCAGCAAAGTGTGAGGATAAGTTGGCTAGAGTGGGCTGGAGTTGGCTGGTCCTATAACTCCCATAAATGAGTGTCAGTGGGACGTATTGACGATGTAAGTCGACCAGCATTGTGTGTGCAGCAAAGTGTTGAGGATAATTTGGCTAGAGTGGCCTGGAGTTGGCTGGTCCTATAACTCTCAGAAATGAGTGTCAGTGGGACGTATTGACGATGTAAGTTGACAAGCATTGTGTTTGCAGCAAAGTGTGAGGATATGTTGGCAAGAGTGGGCTGGAGTTGGCTGGTCCTATAACTCACAGAAATGATTGTCAGTGGGACGTAATGACGATGTAAGTTGACCAGCTTTGTGTGTGCAGCAAAGTGTGAGGATAAGTTGGCTAGAGTGGGCTGGAGTTGGCTGGTCCTATAACTCCCAGAAATGAGTGTCAGTGGGACGTATTGACGATGTAAGTTGACAAGCAGTGTGTGTACAGCAAAGTGTGAGGATAAGTTGGCTAGAGAGGGCTGGAGTTGGCTGGTCCTATAAGTCCCAGAAATGAGTGTCAGTGGGACGTATTGACGATGTAAGTTGACCAGCATTGTGTGTGCAGCAAAGTGTGAGGATAAGTTGGCTAGAGTGGGCTGGAGTTGGCTGGTCCTATAACTCCCAGAAATGTTTGTCAGTTGGACGTATTGACGATGTAAGTTGACAAGCATTGTGTGTGTAGCAAAGTGTGAGGATAAGTTGGCTAGCGTGGGCTGGAGTTGACTGGTCCTATAACTCCCAGAAACGAGTGTCATTGCGACATATTGACGATGTAAGTTGACCAGCATTGTGTATGCAGCAAAGTGTTAGGATAAGTTGGCTAGAGTGGGCTGGAGTTGGCTGGTCCTATAACTCCCAGAAATGTGTGTCAGTTGGACGTATTGACGATGTAAGTTGACAAGCATTGTGTGTGCAGCAAAGTGTGAGGATAAGTTGGGTAGAGTGGGCTGGAGTTGGCTGGTCTTATAACTCAGAAATGTGCGTCAGTTTGACGTATTAAGGATGTAATTTGACAAGGGTTATGTGTGCAGCAAAGTGTTAGGGTAAGTTGCCTAGAGTGGGCTGGAATTGGCTGGTCCTATAACTCTCAGAAATGTGTGTCAGTGGAACGTATTGAGAATGTAAGTTGAAAAGCGTTTTGTGTGCAGCAAAGTTCGAGGATAAGTTGGCAAGAGTGGGCTGGAATTGGCTGGTCCTATAACTCTCAGAAATGTGTGTCAGTGGCACGTATTGAGGATGTAAGTTGAAAAGCGTTTTGTGTGCAGCAAAGTTCGAGGATAAGTGGGCAAGAGTGGGCTGGAGTTGGCTGGTCCTATAACTCCCAGAAATGTACGTCAGTGGGACGTATTGACGATGTAAGTTGACAAGCATTGTGTTTGCAGCAAAGTGTGGGGATAAGTTGGCTAGAGTGGGCTGGAGTTGGCTAGTCCCATAACTCCCAGAAATGAGTGTCAGCGGACGTATTGACGATGTAAGTTGACAAGCAATGTGTGTGCAGCAAAGTGTGAGGATAAGTTGGCTAGAGTGGGCTGGAGTTGGCTGGTCCTATAACTCCCAGAAATGTGTGTCAGTGGGACGTATTGACGATGTAATTTGACAAACGTTGTGTGTGCAGCAAAGTGTCAGGATAAGTTGGCTATACTTAGCTGGAGTTGGCTGGTCCTATAACTCCCAGAAACGTGTGTCAGTGGGACGTATTGACGATGTAATTTGACAAGCATTGTGTTTGCAGCAAAGTGTCAGGATAAGTTGGCTATACTTAGCTGGAGTTGGCTGGTCCTATAACTCCCAGAAACGTGTGTCAGTGGGACGTATTGACGATGTAATTTGACAAGCATTGTGTTTGCAGCAAAGTGTGAGGATAAGTTTGCTAGAGTGGGCTGGAGTTGGCTGGTCCTATAACTCCCAGAAATATGTGTCAGTTTGACGTATTGACGATGTAAGTTGACAAGCATTGTGTGTACAGCAAAGTGTAAGGATAAGTTGGCTAGAGTGGGCTGGAGTTGGCTGGTCTTGGTTGGTCCTATAACTCCCAGAAATGTGTGTCAGTGGGACGTATTGACGATGTAAGTTGACAAGCATTGTGTGTGCAGCAAAGTGTGAGGATAAGTTGGCTAGAGTGGGCTGGAGTTGGCTGGTCCTAAAACTCCCAGAAATGTGTGTCAGTGGGACGTATTAACGATGTAAGTTGACAAGCAGTGTGTGTGTGCAGCAAAGTGTGAGGATAAGTTGGCTTAAGTGGACTGGAGTTGGCTGGTCCTATAGCTCTCAGAAATGAGTGTCAGTGGGACGTATTGACGATGTAAGTTGACCAGCATTGTGTGTGCACCAAAGTGTGAGGATAAGTTGGCTAGAGTGGGCTGGAGTTTGCTGGTCCTATAACTCCCAGAAACGAGTGTCATTGCGACATATTGACGATGTAAGTTGACCAGCATTGTGTATGCAGCAAAGTGTTAGGATAAGTTGGCTAGAGTGGGCTGGAGTTGGCTGGTCCTATAACTCCCAGAAATGTGTGTCAGTTGGACGTATTGACGATGTAAGTTGACAAGCATTGTGTGTGCAGCAAAGTGTGAGGATAAGTTGGGTAGAGTGGGCTGGAGTTGGCTGGTCTTATAACTCAGAAATGTGCGTCAGTTTGACGTATTAAGGATGTAATTTGACAAGGGTTATGTGTGCAGCAAAGTGTTAGGGTAAGTTGCCTAGAGTGGGCTGGAATTGGCTGGTCCTATAACTCTCAGAAATGTGTGTCAGTGGAACGTATTGAGAATGTAAGTTGAAAAGCGTTTTGTGTGCAGCAAAGTTCGAGGATAAGTTGGCAAGAGTGGGCTGGAATTGGCTGGTCCTATAACTCTCAGAAATGTGTGTCAGTGGCACGTATTGAGGATGTAAGTTGAAAAGCGTTTTGTGTGCAGCAAAGTTCGAGGATAAGTGGGCAAGAGTGGGCTGGAGTTGGCTGGTCCTATAACTCCCAGAAATGTACGTCAGTGGGACGTATTGACGATGTAAGTTGACAAGCATTGTGTTTGCAGCAAAGTGTGGGGATAAGTTGGCTAGAGTGGGCTGGAGTTGGCTAGTCCCATAACTCCCAGAAATGAGTGTCAGCGGACGTATTGACGATGTAAGTTGACAAGCAATGTGTGTGCAGCAAAGTGTGAGGATAAGTTGGCTAGAGTGGGCTGGAGTTGGCTGGTCCTATAACTCCCAGAAATGTGTGTCAGTGGGACGTATTGACGATGTAATTTGACAAACGTTGTGTGTGCAGCAAAGTGTCAGGATAAGTTGGCTATACTTAGCTGGAGTTGGCTGGTCCTATAACTCCCAGAAACGTGTGTCAGTGGGACGTATTGACGATGTAATTTGACAAGCATTGTGTTTGCAGCAAAGTGTCAGGATAAGTTGGCTATACTTAGCTGGAGTTGGCTGGTCCTATAACTCCCAGAAACGTGTGTCAGTGGGACGTATTGACGATGTAATTTGACAAGCATTGTGTTTGCAGCAAAGTGTGAGGATAAGTTTGCTAGAGTGGGCTGGAGTTGGCTGGTCCTATAACTCCCAGAAATATGTGTCAGTTTGACGTATTGACGATGTAAGTTGACAAGCATTGTGTGTACAGCAAAGTGTAAGGATAAGTTGGCTAGAGTGGGCTGGAGTTGGCTGGTCTTGGTTGGTCCTATAACTCCCAGAAATGTGTGTCAGTGGGACGTATTGACGATGTAAGTTGACAAGCATTGTGTGTGCAGCAAAGTGTGAGGATAAGTTGGCTAGAGTGGGCTGGAGTTGGCTGGTCCTATAACTCACAGAAATGATTGTCAGTGGGACGTATTGACGATGTAAGTTGACAAGCATTGTGTGTGCAGCAAAGTGTGAGGATAAGTTGGCTAGAGTGGGCTGGAGTTGGCTAGTCCCATAACTCCCAGAAATGAGTGTCAGCGGACGTATTGACGATGTAAGTTGACAAGCAATGTGTGTGCAGCAAAGTGTGAGGATAAGTTGGCTAGAGTGGGCTGGAGTTGGCTGGTCCTATAACTCCCAGAAATGTGTGTCAGTGGGACGTATTGACGATGTAATTTGACAAACGTTGTGTGTGCAGCAAAGTGTCAGGATAAGTTGGCTATACTTAGCTGGAGTTGGCTGGTCCTATAACTCCCAGAAACGTGTGTCAGTGGGACGTATTGACGATGTAATTTGACAAGCATTGTGTTTGCAGCAAAGTGTGAGGATATGTTGGCAAGAGTGGGCTGGAGTTGGCTGGTCCTATAACTCACAGAAATAATTGTCAGTGGGACGTATTGACGATGTAAGTTGACAAGCATTGTGTGTGCAGCAAAGTGTGAGGATAAGTTGGCTAGAGTGGGCTGGAGTTGGCTGGTCCTAAAACTCCCAGAAATGTGTGTCAGTGGGACGTATTAACGATGTAAAAGTTGACAAGCAGTGTGTGTGTGCAGCAAAGTGTGAGGATAAGTTGGCTTAAGTGGACTGGAGTTGGCTGGTCCTATAGCTCTCAGAAATGAGTGTCAGTGGGACGTATTGACGATGTAAGTTGACCAGCATTGTGTGTGCACCAAAGTGTGAGGATAAGTTGGCTAGAGTGGGCTGGAGTTTGCTGGTCCTATAACTCTCAGAAATCTGCGTCAGTTGAACGTATTGATGATGTAAGTTGACAAGCGTTTTGTGTGCAGCAAAGTGTGAGGGTAAGTTGGCTAGAGTTGGCTGGTCCTATAACTCCCAGAAATGTGTGTCAGTGGGCCGTATTGAGGATGTAAGTTGACAAGCAGTGTGTGTGCAGCAAAGTATGAGGATAAGTTGGCTACACTTAGCTGGAGTTGGCTGGTCCTATAACTCTCAGAAATGAGTGTCAGTGGGACGTATTAACGATGTAAGTTGACAAGCAGTGTGTGTGTGCAGCAAAGTGTGAGGATAAGTTGGCTTTAGTGGGCTGGAGTTGGCTGGTCCTATAGCTCTCAGAAATGAGTGTCAGTGGGACGTATTGACGATGTAAGTTGACCAGCATTGTGTGTGCAGCAAAGTGTGAGGATAAGTTGGCTAGAGTGGGCTAGAGTTTGCTGGTCCTATAACTCTCAGAAATGAGTGTCAGTGGGATGTATTGAGGATGTAAGTTTACAAGCGTTTTGTGTGCAGCAAAGTATGAGGATAAGTTGGCTAGCGTGGGCTGGAGTTGGCTGGTCCTATAATTCCCAGAAATGAGTGTCAGTGGGACGTATTGATGATGTAAGTTGACAAGCGTTTTGTGTGCAGCAAAGTGTGAGGAAGGTATTGATGAGTGTGGTGTGTGCAGTAAAGTTAGAGCTGTAGTTGTCTGGGGTTGGTTCTATAACTCTGTCATAAATGTGTGTGTGAGTTGTGGGTATGGAGGCAGCAAACTGACGAGTGAGGTATATCCGACGAAGCGTGAGGAGGAGCTGGTTGGGCCAAGTGATACGTGCGGAAGCTCTAACGCTAGGTCTTGAGGTATTGAGTGTCGGTTGTCGGTTGCAGCGAAGCGCGAGGAGGAGCTGGCGGCGGCGGCGGCGCGCGCGGACGAGGAGTCGGCGGCGCGCGCGGCGGCGCAGAAGGCGGCGCGCGAGGCGCAGTCGGCGCTGGCCGACGCGCACGACGACCTGGACGCCGAGCGCAGCGCGCGCGCCAAGGCCGAGAAGCTGCGCCGCGACCTCAACGAGGAGCTCGAGGCGCTCAAGAGCGAGCTGCTCGACTCGCTCGACACCACCGCCGGTACGTACGTGCACACACCACTCTCCACTCTCCACTCTGCAGAAGGCGGCGCGCGAGGCGCAGTCGGCGCTGGCCGACGCGCACGACGACCTGGACGCCGAGCGCAGCGCGCGCGCCAAGGCCGAGAAGCTGCGCCGCGACCTCAACGAGGAGCTCGAGGCGCTCAAGAGCGAGCTGCTCGACTCGCTCGACACCACCGCCGGTACGTACGTGCACACACCACTCTCCACTCTCCACTCTGCAGAAGACGGCGCGCGAGGCGCAGTCGGCGCTGGCCGACGCGCACGACGACCTGGACGCCGAGCGCAGCGCGCGCGCCAAGGCCGAGAAGCTGCGCCGCGACCTCAACGAGGAGCTCGAGGCGCTCAAGAGCGAGCTGCTCGACTCGCTCGACACCACCGCCGGTACGTACGTGCACACACCACTCTCCACTCTCCACTCTGCAGAAGGCGGCGCGCGAGGCGCAGTCGGCGCTGGCCGACGCGCACGACGACCTGGACGCCGAGCGCAGCGCGCGCGCCAAGGCCGAGAAGCTGCGCCGCGACCTCAACGAGGAGCTCGAGGCGCTCAAGAGCGAGCTGCTCGACTCGCTCGACACCACCGCCGGTACGTACGTGCACACACCACTCTCCACTCTCCACTCTGCAGAAGACGGCGCGCGAGGCGCAGTCGGCGCTGGCCGACGCGCACGACGACCTGGACGCCGAGCGCAGCGCGCGCGCCAAGGCCGAGAAGCTGCGCCGCGACCTCAACGAGGAGCTCGAGGCGCTCAAGAGCGAGCTGCTCGACTCGCTCGACACCACCGCCGGTACGTACGTGCACACACCACTCTCCACTCTCCACTCTGCAGAAGGCGGCGCGCGAGGCGCAGTCGGCGCTGGCCGACGCGCACGACGACCTGGACGCCGAGCGCAGCGCGCGCGCCAAGGCCGAGAAGCTGCGCCGCGACCTCAACGAGGAGCTCGAGGCGCTCAAGAGCGAGCTGCTCGACTCGCTCGACACCACCGCCGGTACGTACGTGCACACACCACTCTCCACTCTCCACTCTGCAGAAGGCGGCGCGCGAGGCGCAGTCGGCGCTGGCCGACGCGCACGACGACCTGGACGCCGAGCGCAGCGCGCGCGCCAAGGCCGAGAAGCTGCGCCGCGACCTCAACGAGGAGCTCGAGGCGCTCAAGAGCGAGCTGCTCGACTCGCTCGACACCACCGCCGGTACGTACGTGCACACACCACTCTCCACTCTCCACTCTGCAGAAGGCGGCGCGCGAGGCGCAGTCGGCGCTGGCCGACGCGCACGACGACCTGGACGCCGAGCGCAGCGCGCGCGCCAAGGCCGAGAAGCTGCGCCGCGACCTCAACGAGGAGCTCGAGGCGCTCAAGAGCGAGCTGCTCGACTCGCTCGACACCACCGCCGGTACGTACGTGCACACACCACTCTCCACTCTCCACGCTCCACTCTGCAGAAGGCGGCGCTGCCGAACTGCACACCCCAGCATACATACAGTCTTGTACTCGTTCGTGTATGTATGCGTTCATTCATTTACACGTTCGTGCATACATTCACTCAATCAATTTTACATTAATTCTTTGCTTTTTTATTTATTAAAACCGCATCTATTATTTCGTTAGCTGCTATATTTGTCACTTTGTACGAAGTGTTGCATTCTAAACATGACTTACAGAAGTGTAAGACAAAAAATGTAACAAACAAAGCATTACATACCTAAACCAGGTTCCAAATTAATACGAAATAATAATCTTTATTATTTTTAGTTGCTTACCCTCTAAAGGCTTGCCCCTTTACTCTATGGAACTCTATACCACCTTGTATAATACATTATACAACTTTTGAAACACATTTGATAACGAAAATATTAGTGGTTTCCGTATTAATAAAAAAGGCAATTTTTTTAATTTAAAATTTAATTTAAAACAAATATTAAATAAACTCCTATCCTTACAGCTCAACAAGAGCTCCGTTCGAAGCGCGAGCAAGAAGTAGCGGTGCTGAAGCGAAGTCTAGAAGAAGAAGCGGTCGCACACGAGGCCACGCTTGCCGAACAGCGACACAAGCACTCGCAGGAGTTGCAACAGCTCAACGAACAGCATGAACAGCTCAAAAAGACCAAAGCTGGTAAGTTTTTTATAAATACTAGCGATTTGCAGAGGTGGTTTCTGAATCTCGACATTAGCGCCATCTACCGGGTCCAATTATGAATGTAAACCATTCTCGAATCAACTTAATCACACGCACAAAATTTCAACGAAATCGGATTTGTTTCGCTTCCGATTTCGTTGGATCGGAATCGGATCGGAATCAGATCGCTTAGGAGTTCAGTCATGTACACACGGACAGAAGAAATATATTATAAAGCTAAATTGATCTTAAAACATTCCTTGGGTGTCGTAAGAGACGACAAAGCTATTGACGGCTTCGTGGCGGAGTAGCTTAGCAATGAGTTGCTGCGGTGAGGCCACGGGTTCGAATCCCACACGCAATAAGTATTTGTATGGCCTACAAATAATTGTTCTGGATATTTGTCTTTGACAAGAAGTCAAGTCGCGGGGAACAACTAGTAGTACACCTACTAGTTGTTCCCCGCGACTTAGCCTGTGTCTAACTTTTTTTTTTTGCGCGGAACCCTAATTCTTTTTCTTAAATAAAAGTATTCAAGTTACTCCTTATAAAATTAGCGTGGTGGTGGCTTCTTAACACTAACGGTGGTAGAGCCGCGCGGCAGCTTTTGATGTTGCTCGTTACTTCGCCTACGCGGATTCCAGATGTGGAGCGTTATACACCTTCCCTGTTTGTCCTTCTGCTGACCTCTCATCCGGACGGGTATCAGGTTTCCGTCGATGCCGCTCTCGGCTCTTCGGACCATTGTCTGATCCGGAGTGTGGTGCCACTCACGCTCCCATCGCGGTTGCGTTCTGCAGGTTACACGTCGGCGGATTAGGACGGAATGCGGTCGTTCTTTGCATCCTTCCCATGGTACTTCAGGGTATGAAACTTTTTATTACATCCTCTGTGGTGCCCATCGGAGGCAGATCCCAGCCATGTTTTGGTCGCTCCTGTAAAATAGCATCACGTTATAAGCAGGAATGCTACCGGGCCTGGGCTGACGTTTCAACGTCTCGGGATATAAACACCAGCGCACTTAAAAAGAAGTATAATTCCGCCTCCAGGTCCTTCAAAAGCGTCATTGCCAAGGCAAGGTCTGAGCACATCGGCAGAATTAGCGAGAAGCTAGTTCGCCTTACTTCAGGAAGCCGTGCATTCTGGTCTCTCACCAAGGGTGTCCAAGGGAACTTCTGTCAGCCATCTCTTCCATCTCTGCACAGAGAGGACGACTCACTGGCCCATGCCGCAAAGGAGAAAGCCGATCTTTTAAGCTCTCTCTTTGCGTCCAATTCGACTTTAGATGACGGGGGGAACACACCGCCGACTATCCCGCGGTGTGAGTGCTCCATGCCGGATGTGCGATTTACACAGCGCTCGGTTCGTAAAGCACTCTTCTCCCTGGACGTCAGCAAGTCGATTGGGCCTGATGGAGTCCCTCCCATTGTGCTGAAGACGTGTGCTCCGGAGTTGGCACCGGTTTTAACGCGTCTTTTCCGGTACTCCTACTCCCAAGGCGTAGTCCCGAATTCATGGAAGACAGCTTTGGTCCACCCGATCCCTAAAATGGCGACCGTTCAGACCCGTCCAACTACAGGCCTATCGCCATAACCTCCTTGTTCTCCAAAATAGTGGAATCCTTTATATACTGCCAGCTCTTGCGATGCTCTATACACCGGCCGTGCCAATATTTCTCGGGAAAACGTCGCCGAGTACCGGAACAAACTTGTGTCTGATGTCTTTGCTGAATAAAGTCTCGGATTGGGGGCGACCTTAATCCTCAGAAAACACAAATTTGCACGTTTACCGCTGAAAAGAACCCCTTTGTCTTATCTTCTCAGTTTCAAGGCACTCCCGTTGTTGCCTCAGATAGTATCGGAATCCTGAGCGTCGACATATCAAGTGACGTCCATCATTGGTGCTGCAAAGAGATGTTGCATCAGTTCGCATTTTCTTTCGCATTTACCACGGGGAGTGCTCTGAGGAATTGTTCGGATTAATCCCAGCCGCCAAATTTCACGAACGCACATCGCGGCAGAACTCCCGATACCATCCACACCATCTGGATGATTGGCGGTCCACCACTGTGCGATTTAAAAGATGTTTTCTTCCTCGCACAACTTCCTTGTGGAATCGATTACCATCAGCGATTTTTCCGGACCGATAAGACTTAGGGACCTTTTTGAAAAGCCGGCAACGCATCTGCACTTCCCCTGTTTCCCCTGGTGTTGCAGCTGTTCATGGGCGGCGGTAGTCACTTTCCATCAGGTGAGCCGCATGCTCGTTTGCCCCCTCACGTATAAAAAAAACCATATGTACCCACCATACAGGAGAAATTCCTAGTGGACTTTTTTTAATAAAAAATGGGCACAAGAGATGGGCAGTGGCGTCTTCCTGATAACAACTCAAAATAATAAAAAAATACTGCGGTTGCCAAGCTGCCCTACTAAACTTGGCAACAGTGGAAAACATAAGGCACGATACTATCAAGATATCTCCCATACGAGGTGAGATATATACTATAAGTTCGTTCTGTGTAGATAGGACCATAAATTAATATTTAAAAATTGTGGTAGGTAGCCTTCGTTAACTATGACATCAGTTCTGCAAACACCTCAGACCGCCTGTGACCATGTTATCTGTCATGCGACCATAGCGTCAGATATTAAAAAAGTAAAAATTAAACACGATAAAATCTGTAAGTATAGTTTTATTCAAAACAATTATTATTGAAGTTTTATTCAAAAAGATGATAAAATTCGAAACAAAAAGTTTTATTCAAGACAATTATTATTAAAATTTTATTCAAAAAGATTTGATGTATCTTTATGTAATTTTAAAACCTTTGGTTTCATATATGTCTGATATTTAATAAACAAAATGAGAGAAAGATTTTGTATAAAATATATTTATATAATCATTTTTTTCTTTATTAATTTAATACACACAAAGACATACAAAGATACAGATATATTTTATGTTATAGCTTTTCATGTGACTAGTCTACTTTCGAATTTTATTTTAATGCACACAGATATGAATTTTGTTGGTAAGTTTAATAAACATAACAAAACATATGCTATATCCGTTATCATACAGCTGTGCCCTTTCATCACCTTAGTTCAATGCATTTATAATAGATTTGACTTAACCTCACACAGTCACTCATTAGAAATTACTTTGTTTTAATAATTAATTTTATTAATTTCGCTATTATACTCCATTTAGGATATCACAGAAGCAATAACAACTATTACAAACTACGAATTACCTATAAAAAGATAGTAAAAAGAAAAATATCAGCCTTTCATAAATGTTAAGCATCAAATCATTATTAAATAAAACTAATTTTACGGATTTTATCGCGTATATTAACTTATTTTTATATTCCCGACGTTTCGGGTGCTTTCCAGCACCCGTCCCGTGGTCAAAGCATAAAGCACCCGAAACGTCGGGAATATAAAAATAAGTTAATATACGCGATAAAATCCGTAAAATTAGTTTTATTTAAAAATGTGTAGTGTTCGCGTAAATATAAGAAATCATTATCAAATCATTATTTAAAAAAACCTAATGACGTGTTACTTTTTGCTTGAAGCTACAATAATTATAACCTTAAAATGGTCTCCACACGGCCCTAATGTCAATAGTAATATCGGGAGAGTGGTGGGGAATGCCCTAGATCGCTTCCTTGATCATCCAGTGTCTAGGCAAATCGGTATCATTATTATTATTGTTATTCCCCCTAGCTCGAACATCGGGTCGGGCGAACCCAAGATTTAGGGGCGATTATCGTCTATAGGGAGCGTTTTCGCATAGTGTGTAGCGAAATCAGGCCCGATTTCTTAGATATTTTGATAGTGTCAGCGCCATCTTGAACGACGAGCGTTTTGATGCACGATCTGTTTCACACTCAGTGGGAGTGCAGGGTTTTGTGGTGGTAGCGGCCGATTTCATTCCCACCAAAGACATTTAAGTAGTAGTAGTAATAGACTGGACATCAGCAGCAAAATTGTCGTCTGTAACTTGTGTAATGTCCTAAAAGATATATCTCCGATTTTTGTCATTTAGTCTTAGTGACATCGCCAAAAAGACAAGACGCATTCGTTTCATGTATTTAAAAAATATTTTTAAAGAAAATATGCCCGGTTGTGCATTGAGATATTGTTCTAAGTCACGATATGGAGGAAAAAATGAACGTGATTTCGGTTTATTATCGTAAATATAACATATATTTACCGAATAATCTTAAAATTTTATTATTTCTAGTAGATTGTTCTAGAACATATATTTTTATTGTAATAAGCGCCCTCTGTTATCGAGTAAACGTCACTATTTAGTTACCAATGTTAAAGTTAGTGATTGACGACGATTGGGATTATCGATAAAAAATATACAGGATGCCGATTTAATCCTTTACATTATTTAAGGAATGCTGCACTTGCTGTGTTGATGTTTAGTAATACAGCAAGTCTTCTCTTTTACATATCAGGCTTCATTGTCTGGTGGTTTACAAGGACAAAGCCATGATAGATCCTCGCTTACAGTGATAGGAGAGGGCTATAGGTTTCTTACATTAAAAACAATTTTTACTGTTAAAGATATTAGATGCATGAAGTTGTAGGTTAAGCCTGAGTTAGAAAATAAGGTAAAAACTTAAAATAACAATTTTTATTGATGTGGGTGTCTTTAAGTACTGCAGCTAATGAAACGTGAAAAATCGTGAAACGGCTTTTAAGTTCAGTGATTTCCTAAAATATTTTAGATTTGAAGTGTATTTTTGTAATAGAAACGAATTTAAAACATAGAGGCGCTCTCTTATTGGATTTAGCGTTTCTCGATATGTCTTTAACGCCGACCGATCAATCATGATATGCTATTATTATAGCAGCTAATGGATCGAGTGACATCATCCAAGATGCCACCAAGGTGGCAACCAAAGAGACTGCTGTTTGAATTGATTCTTACTAAGAAGTTTATTGGAAATTTAATATTTTATTTCATGACACTAAAGAGGCGTAAAGTGTTAATATGATTTTTTTTCGTGTGATGGAAGTCATGATAAATAGATTTATACAATAAAACAATCATGTATGTTCCCTATTATTATATCGAAAAGCATTTAAAACTTAGTAATTTTCAACAACATTATCGATACTTTGATATCGAAACGGTAACATTCTTAAACGACGTTATATTTATTAGCGTCACCTACTGGGGAATAGCTAAAATGTTGTCTTAATAAATGTTTAGCGTTGTTTTGCTATTTTTAGCTAGAGGGTGCCACACGCGCATTAGCTCAAAGTTTTTGTATATAAATCTTCCCAATGCCCGCTCTATAGTATACATATATATTTAAATCTCTTTGATTCCCACCATTACTCTACCTATATTGCCACTGATATTAGGGTCGTGTGTAGGCCGTTTTAACTACCTGTTGAGGATAATATATCCCGTATCCTGTATAATTGTAGACTATTTTTATAGAAATACTTATCACATGTCTTGTAGGGCTCTATCGAAAGTAATTATTGATTTTTATAGGAATTGCTAATTCCATTAAATAAATAAAAGCAACAATTGCTAATCGGTTTAATTATAGAGACAAAAATATGTACGCTGTGCAAATCACATTTATTATTGCTTACTATGAATAATTATTTACTTTTACACACTTTTAAACTTGGTACGCCACGCTGCAACTATATTACTTGTATAGTTGTAGCACGAATGAGTCGGTACGAGTGGGGAAGGACCACGCTCTCACAGAATACCAGCGTGAAATAGTAGCTTAACACTACTGTGTTTCGTATGGTGAGTGTAGAAAACCGGAGACCCTTTTTACTGGAAAAGAGGCATTGCATCTTAATCCTCACGGGTGAGCATAGATGAAGATGTATATAAAAAAAAATACTATTTGTACCATGATTTAAAAATCATCATTACCGTTTCCTTTACCGTTACAGTCTATCAAAAGACCGCTGCTGCACATAGGCCTACCCCATAGATTGTCTCATCGAGGTTATTTGTCATAGTTGCCACGCTCGACAGAAGGACTGACAACCACAGTTCAAAATTTTTAGTTCCTATTAGGAAGATACTGCTGAACATCTCCTGGTTTGTTTCCCTCTGTCGCCTCTAACATTCTCATGACGATATGGAGTAGTGGATATTCTTATGGCGTGGCGGTACACGGGTACGCGGGTACACGGCTTAAAAAATCGACATTACCTTTAATAGAATTAAACAGATGCCTATAAAGAGCAATGGCAGAAAAATAGGTGACAAAAATTATAGCGTCTAGAAATAAGTTGTATATAAAATAAGTTTTATTATTTTTCTATGATTTTTCAAATAAAAATGTATTTTAATTAAAGCCACAGAAAAAAACAAACATTTTAGGGAACATCAAATGACTTATATCATTTTACTCTATTCAAATGTTGCCATTTAGTATATTCATACTATTTTCGTATACACTTTGTAACGCTACCAACACAACACACAAAGTATTTTTATATTAAGTTATTATTAGTAATAACTGTACTATCAGTAATAACAAAAATAAAAGTGATATGGCTGAGAGTCTCTTACAAAGAATTTCCTACAATAATACATTATCTCAATCATAGTACTATGTAACAATTCCATTTAATGTTATGCCAACACTAGCTAAAATAAAAATGTCACTGTTTTTTTTACTGCCTTTACGGCTCTGGGTTCTAGCCCTTCTGAGAATGTCACTAAGGTACAAAAGACCTGGAGCCATGCCAGAAATATACATTTATATTATGCAAATATATAATAGATATACAATAATCTAAAAACTCTCAATTATGTATTATGTATTAAGCTAACATCAAACAACCACAGGAAGCATGAGTTTTTCCAAGTGTGATAGGACATAACCTAAAAAGGTTCAAATGTAAATATCTTTATTTTGACGCCTTCTCAGTACAAAATTCTTTGACAGAGTTATTAAGGGACTGACGCTTAAATTTTTAAGATATTTTTGGTATATAGACGCTACCATTTCTTCTCAACTAATTTTATGTATGAAAGTCTGCCATTGCTCTTTTTATTGTATTTTAGTTTTTAAATTAAAGAAGGATAAGATATTTTGAACCTCGACACTCCAAAAGGAAAAAATGTAAGACAAATTAACTTATAATTTACAGAATGGTTCTTCAACGACACGTCAATTAAATGTATAATTTTTATTTATTCACTACTTTCCACATATTTTTATATTTATGAAAGATACATTTTTTTATAATCATAGTTTAAAAATTAATGTATAGTAGGCCTAACTTCTTACATCATAGAGCATAAATAATGAAAATAATAATTTATCATTTATATGTATGTATGTATTTCGATTTATTATATTTCAATCAGCCCTAGCTTCGATTCCATTTTTAAAAATAATTATTTTTATTTGATGAACACCCATCAGAAAAATGTCAATTAATGTCAAACTTTTCGAATGTGACATACAGAGTCAAATTTTTATGATAATTTTTTATGGGATTTTATAAAATATAGTTTTATTTCGATATTAATTTTTAATCAATAGAATTATGGCTAACGTGAAAGAGCGTAGGCAGAAGAATGTGAAGTTCGGGTTATCCAAAGACGACAATTTCGAGGTGGCATCTGTCGGGTTCCCACATGACGAAGGCAATGCTTTCAATTCGACTAGGGAGTATTGGCAACACATCTGTAAGGGCGCATCTTCGCCAAATATAAAGGACGACGATCTTTCCAATCGATGCAGCTGTTAGTAATTTACAAGCTGTGTAATTATCGTAAAATTTAATCGAATAATATTTCGTTATTTGTGGTTGTTATTCTTAGATTCATTTCATAATTAGTCTTTATATTATATTATATGCACATACAGATTGTAATGGCAAAATGTTTGCAATTTGCAGGCAATGTTACCATATCAATGTGCTACTTGTTCCATTATAGCCTATAATAATCCACTGCTGAATATAGGCATCCACCATAGATTGCCTAATATGGAGGATATTGCCATTTGCCGTTTTCCTTAAGCGAATACATTTTAATAGCTATGAAGGTTTAAAATTTTGTAATAACTGATACACATCAAAGCTTGAGTCCATTCGAAGTTGGTGTTTCAAATAAAATAAATATATAAAAACAGTTGTCACGCTTGGGTTAACGGGTTGGCAACAATAGTGCTGTTATTTTATAATTAGTAATTTTCAAACAAAACGTTTACTGATACAGCCTATTAAAACCATTGCTGAACACGGGCCTCTCCCCTAGATTGCCTCATAGGGGGGATGTTTGTCATAGTTGCCACGCTTGGAAGCGGGGTGGCAACCACAGTTTTTTTTTTTAGATTTTTTTAGGAAGATGCTGCTACCCATTTCCTGATTTGTTTGCCTCTGTGTAACTTATATGTAGTGGACATATAATGCTTGAAAGTTGGTCTTCATTATTGTCACGTCATCATTATACGCCCCTAACAGCCTACAGTGCTGAACAGTTGAAAAAATACAAATAACAAGCTTGCAATGTGCGCGTGAGTTCATTGCCATCAGGGCCTGAGTTGAGGCGACGAGTAGTTGCTGCCACTAGCATCGTTCCTTGTCGCCAACGCCTGCATTGCACGGTGCAGGTATTCTCACCTGTCGCGCTATGTGCGCATGACTATCGATGGTATGCTCATATAGCGTAGTGATATTGTATCAGTATTTGAATGGCAATGAGAAAGTAATATTCTAGAATAAGGGTGACAAATGAGCACAGTCCACCTGATGGTAAGTGGGTTCTATCGCCCAGAGACATATAAATCTGTCCTCGATTAATCAAAATGCAGATGCGGTGTTACCGCTGGGGGTGGAATGTTCCAGTGCTTCGTTTCCAGTAAAGAGGGTCTCCAGATCTCTACGCTCGCCAAACGAAAGGCAGCAGCATTAAGCTATTTAATATGTTTATGTCGGATGATTGCTCTGGTTTCTTCTTTTGTTTCTATTTCAGCCAAAAATAAAAAAAATACCAATGAATTGTAAGACTTCTCAATGTGAATAGTTTTTTGACAATCAACCTTTTATCTACCAATTATGTCATACGTCACTAGCGTATTTATCAAATTGACACTCACTCGCGTGCGCACTACATTGTAGATGATAGTATGTTGCTACAGGAGTGTGATGGATATAAGCAATCAAACTAAACAGAAACAAAACTACAGAGTAGCATATGAGTAGAAGACTTGCACTCTAGCTTAATTTGAGTCTGTGTTATTTTGAATAAGAACTGCCCCCTGAGTATAAGTTTTTATCGTGTCGTATTCATATATGTGTCGTGACAAAATATAGTTAGTTTACATCCGCCATTTAAAAAAAAGTTATTAAAAAACGCAAAAAAATTTAAGGTAGTGTTTTGTGTTTTTAACATCCTCTAGAAACGGATAAACTAAATTAAAACGCAACTTCTCTATTAACATCACATTGTGTAACAAATATCTTCACCTCAGTCACTACTAGCGACATCTGGTGAGCTTTCGCTATTATTAGTCCTCATTGATATCGAACGCCCCCCCTCCCCCTGCAAATTCTGAAGCGTGTCGTGTAACGTAGTACGGTTATGCTGGTCCGCAGCGCTGGAGAAGGCGAAACAGGCGCTGGAGGCGGAGAACGCGGACCTGGCGACGGAGCTGAAGAGTGCGAGTGCGGCGCGTGCTGAAGGCGAGCGTCGTCGGAAGCAGGCCGAGGCACAGCTCGTAGACCTCGCCGCCAAGCTGCAGGAGCTCGAGCGCACCAGGTGAGTTGTCCAGTGGACCTTTTTTTATAGAATAAGGGTGACAAACGAGCACACAGTCCACCTGATGGTAAGTGGTTGATGTGTCCCGTAGACATCTACATCTATCCTCGATGCTGAATCAAAATGCAGATGCTTGTCACCCGTGAGGACTGAGATGGAATGCCTCGTTTCAAGTAAAACGGGTCTCCGGTTCTTTAAACTCACTATACGAAACACAGCAGCGTTAAGCTGCTATTTTATGCTGGTATTCAGTGAGAGCATGGTCCTTCCCGGGTAGAGCCGGCTATATTACTTTTATAGTTGTAGCACGAATTGCTACAACTATACAAGTAATATAGCTGCAGCATGACAACCACGTAAAACATGGCGATAGACTTTTTTTTTAATAAATAGATAATAATGTCCTCCAGACCAAAAACTTCTATGTGTACTACTGGACCGGCAATTCAGTACAAAATCTGTGTCACAGATGAGGATCGCGCAGGTGCTGTAGTAAATATGCCATGAATTTGTATTTTCATTTACGACAGTTACTTATTTTCTGATAAATACGTACTAGAGTTACACACTTTCTGAAATAAACTTCAAATCACGTTGACAAATTGCGCACTAACACAACACAAACGCTGTCATTGTTTATGACAGTGTTTTCTAAGTCACATTAAAAAAAATCAGTGTTAGTTTGCAGTTTAAAAATAAATATTAATTCATCTTCTTGATCGGTAAAATGACCGTATACATAGTCTGCTTCAGACCGAATTGCGGTTATGGCCTCCAGTCTTTACGGAGCCAAGCCAAACAAGCGCACGACAGGGTTATAGTGCACGAGCGTGCGCGCAAGCACAAGATCAGTCGTCTGTTGCTCTTTAAATTCCTTACTCTCGGCAAGACCGGAGACAGAGAGTGATGAGGTGTAGGACCAACTGTTTCACGCGCTCTTTGAGGCACAGGAGTGAAACACCGTCAACTTGTTGATTCCAGGCTACTACTGAGAATATTGCATGTTACCCTTGCGATTGCATCTTCTTGTTTTTAATAGCTCTTAACGCGACTCTTCCATTGTAGATTTATCTTAGTTTCCACGCATGGATTGGATTGGCGATCCGAATTCTAGACGTGAGTACAGTTAATCCCTATTGATACAGATATTTAACTAGTGTCTATATTAGGTAATAAGGTAGTTAAACCGTCTATCATGAGTAGTTGGCATTTTTTTTATAATCGCCTTTTACGACGACACCCACGGAACGATATAGGGATATTTTTTGAATTCTCTAATATCACCACCACCCGGTGCTATACTATATGATATACGTCGTAGTTGACAGTAAAGACAGAATTGTACACGGGTTCGGTTCTGCAGGACGGAGACGCAGGAGAAGTGTGCCCGGCTGCAGGCCGAGGCGGAGCAGGCGCTGCAGCAGCTGGAGCAGGCCGAGCTGAAGGCCTCCGCCGCGCTCAAGCAGGCCGCCACTGCGGGCGCGCAGCACGCCGAGGCACAGGTACTACGCGGCACCATTCGCCCGTGGTACACACCACACAACTACTTTCAATCCCACACACTCCCCGTGGTACACACCACACAACTCCTTTCAACCTCACACACTCCTCGTGGTACACACCACACCACTACTTTCAATCACACACTATCCCCGTGGTATACACCACACAACTTCTTTCAATCCCACACACTCCTCGTGGTACACACCACACAACTACTTTCAATCCCACACACTCCCCGTGGTACACACCACACAACTACTTTCAATCCCACACACTCCCCGTGGTACACACCACACAACTACTTTCTGTCCCACACACTCCCCGTGGTACACACCACACAACTCCTTTCAACCCCACACTCTCTCCGCGGTATACACCACACAACTCCTTTCAATCCCACACACTCCTCGTGGTACACACCACACTACTACTTTCAATCTCACATTCTCCCCGTGGTATACACCACACAACTCCTTTCAACCTCACACACTCCTCGTGGTACACACCACACAACTACTTTCAATCCCACACATTCCCCTTGGTACACACCACACAATCTTTTTCAAATCTTCTAAATAATTATTATGTATAATGCTAATATAATATATTATTTACCTTCGGGTTCGCGGTCCGCACACTACCTCCCCCAAGTAATCCAATCCCCCACGAGGTGGAGTGGCGACCTAGTAAGATACGTGGGAAGTCGATAGATGTACATGATTTAGACTATGCTTTATGGCATTACACTCTGCTCCCCCTTTATAAAATATAATATGAAATAAACAGTGTAAATAAACTATAAATACAACACGCACACACGGGCGTTCCTCCTCTTGAAGAAATAAAACGTCTACTGGGAATCGTGTGGAGTGACGTGAGTGGGATCAGGGGGAGGGGGTGGGTGGCCGTATCTTTGAATATGTATGTACGTAGTTAATGTTTATGATAGTGTTTTTGCACAAAATGTAGCCTTCCCGCTGCGTTTCGATTCGATTGTAGTAAGATGCTCTACTATCACTACACGGTGTTGACAAATTGAACAAACAAAATGAAGATATCGTCGTAGCCGATATTCGACCACGGTGTCAGCTTTTGAATAAAGGGAATCTATTAACTGTACTATAAGTGTGTTTCAATTTGTCTTATACTATTTGAATTTTGGCTTGTTTAAATTACCTAGCGTATATGGATTTTGCGTCTGAATATCTCAGATTAATTTACTTGCTATCCTTAGGCACTCCTGGAAGAGGAGACGAAGCAGAAACTGTCGCTACAGACGCGGCTGCGCAATGTTGAACAACAGCTGGAACAGGCGCGCGACCAGCTGGAAGAGGAGGAGGAGGCAAAGAAGAACTTGGAGAAGCAGGTCAGTAAAACATAAGGCATCCCTAAACTTTTTTTTATAGGAGTGGGTGCAAACGAGCACACGGCTCACCTGAAGTGTGAATACCACCGCCCATGAACAACTGCAACACCAAGGAAATTGCAAGTGCGTTGCCGGCCTTTTAAAAAGGAGTAGGTTCTTTTCTCGAAGGTCCCTAAATCGTATCGGTCCGAAAAAATCGCCGGTGGTAAATTATTCCACAGAGAAGTCGTCCGCGGAAGAAAACTCCTAGTGAAACGTACAGTGGTGGACCGCCAAGCATCCAGACGGTGTGGATGGTATCCGGTGATTTGCCGCAATGTGCGGTCGTGAAATTTGACGGCTGGGATTAATCCGAACAATTCCTCAGAGCACTCCCCGTGGTAAATGCGAAAGAAAATGCAAAGGAATGCAACATACCTACGCAGCGCCATTGAATCGAGCCGATCAAAATGAACTCAGTCGTCGACGATTCGAGCCGCTCTGCGCTGGGTGCGGTCAAGTGAATGGAACTTCTTTACGTGGTAGAGCCATGCTGTAGCTATATTAGTAGTATAGTTGTAGCACGAATGGGTCGACTCGACCGGAGAAGGACCACGCTCTCACAGAATACCAGCGTAAACTAGCAGCTTAACGTTGCTGTGTTTGGTATGGTGAGTGTAGAGAATCGGAAACCCTTTTTACTGGAAATGCGGCATTCCATCTTAGTCCTCACGGGTTACAACGCATCTACATTTTGATTTGTAATAGAGGATAAATGTAGATGTCTATGGGCCGCAGCAACCACTTACCATCAGGTGAACTGTGTGCTCGTTTGTCATCCTTATCCTATAAAAAAAGCACACCAAGCTTTTTAGAGGCCAATTTGGCCTTCTCTTTCAAGTGACCACGAAACTGCACGTCACTCGATATGTCGACTTCGAGGATTCCGATACTGGCTGAGGCAACAAGAGGAGTGCCTTGAAACTGAGGAGATAAAGAGAATAAAGGGATTCTTTTTAGCGGTAATCGCGCATACTTGTGTCTTCTGAGGATTAAACTGGCCTAGATTTAGTCGCCACCAATCCGAGACTTCGTTCAGCAAAGACTCGACTTCAGACACATTTTTGTTCCGGTACTTGGCGACGTTTTCCACCAGGCATCTCGCTCTTTTGGCGCTGGCATATAAAATGTAAGAGATGGTATAACGCCTTCTACTGGAGGCTGATGTGTTTCCGATTTTTGCATTACATATCATAATTATTTCTTACGACAACCACTGGTAGAAATGGGCTGATGGGTTTTACAACTGTATCGTTAAATCTTAACATGTGATCAAATTATAGTTTTTAAAAGTTTCCCATTATTAAATTCTTATTAAAAAGATGCTGATGCCTATATTATGGTATAGTTTGCCTTTGTCGCATCTTAAGACACTCATGAGGTGATATGGTGCAGTGGATTTTCTTACGCCGTCACTATACGGCAAAACTAATCAATAGTTCACCTTTTTTCCAGGTGGCAGCACTAACGCAACAAGTCGTAGATGCGAAGAAGAAGGCAGAGGAAGAGGCGGAAATAGCGGCGGCTTTAGAAGAGCAGCGCAAGAAGCTCAGCAAGGACGTGGAAGCTCTGCACCGACAGATCGACGAACTGCAGCAGGCTAACGACAAACTGGACAAGAGTGAGTTGTTCCGCCAATCTCGAGGGGGGGCATATTGTTAATTTCCACAGTATTTGCTTAACAGTTGATGCATTAAGGACCATCACTGTTGCGATAGTGTTAACGTAGTGATTCCCGTCCCTATAAAAAATTATGTGTAGATGATAAATGGAATTGCTCTGAGAACACCCAATTTCCATAATCGACTTTTACGCCACCCACAGGGGACTTCGACTATGTCATAATATTAATATATTATAATAATAATAATAATATTTAATTAACAAGGAACACAGTTGCTTAACAGCTGTTAAGCAACTGCTTTGCTTACCTTCTTTTTAACCGACTTCAAACAAGGAGGTTATCATTTTACACAATTATTTTTTCCATTAATAAATTGTATTTCAATTTTAAATGTAATGTATGTAAATCATTTATTTTTTATTTCAATTTTAACTAGGTGAAAACTTGGTTGGTTAACCATTTGAAGCTGAATTGAGTAGTAGAAAGTATACTAATAACTAACCCTGTTGTAATATTTAAACCAGGCAAAAAGAAAATCCAAGCAGAGTTGGAAGACACTAACATAGAGTTGGAAGCTCAACGCGCAAAGGTGCTAGAACTTGAGAAGAAGCAGAAGAACTTCGATAAGGTTCGTGTTGTTTTTTAAACTTTCTGCTATTACAGCCTATTAAAAGTACAATACTGACTTACAGGTCCCATATTTATGTGGCATTTATAATAAAGAAGAAATTGCCAACTGTGTTAGTTGTCTAGAATGTTGTAAAGGCGACGAGAGCTGTGGTAGCTCAGAGAAATAAGAAAAAATAAATTTCGAAGATATGTGAAGTTTGCCAACACGCGCTGGGACAGTGCGGCGAATATTTCCTTGCACTAAAACTTAACAAATGATAGGAGGCCTATGCCCTGCAGTGAGAAGTATTTGGGCTTATAACTTTAATCCATTTATTTTGGCTAAACGTGGTAAAACGTTCGATTAGTTTACTGCTCTTTGGATCCTGTTTACCCCCTCAGTAGTATGTATTATTTTGACTGCCTCTTGGTCAAGTGATCGTAAGCGTGACTATTGATCATGTGGTCCCGGGTCGGGCTTAATCAGTACTTGGGTTTTTCAAGGAATTTTCTCTTCTTTCCGTTAGGTCGAATTCCCTTTCCATGGGACTGTTAGAGTAAGGGAATACAGAGTGCACTTGTATTTGTCCACACACATGTGCACTAAAATCTTGTCATGTTTATATGCTTAGCCTCCGCTAAGACTGGCCGCCGTGACCGAAATTTATAAAGGTCTACAGTGTACTTTATGTACCAGCATCCAGCGCGCGTTTTGTAAAAGTACATTGCATGCAACCCTGATTTTTGTATTGAAAATGTTAAAAATTAACCAATTAAGATCCGCGTAATAAAATAATTTTTTTTTTTTTACTTATTATAAGCCAGTGCTTGACCACAAACCCACCTAAGTGGTGATGCAGCCTTAGATGGTAGACCGCACTGTCTTATCGTAACAAAAGCCTATTCACTTTTGCCTTGAAGACGCCCAAATTGTATTCGGACGGAAATAAAGACGCCGGAAACTTATTCCACTTCTTTGCTGTACGTATTACAAAAGACGAAGCAAAATGATGTGTCTTACCTAGTTCGTGCCGCTACTTATAACGTCTGATTCTATTGATTGTAGTATTTATTTGCGTGTATGTATAGGTGCTTTATATTTTAAATGTAACGTTAGGTCCGTCGTATTAATATTGTATAATAATGTGTGATTGTGTGACTTGTCAGGTGTTGGCAGAAGAACGCACGGTGGCGGAGCGCAACGCGGCGGAGCGCGACGCGGCGGAGCGCGACGCGCGCGACAAGGAGACGCGCGTGCTCAGCCTCACGCGCGAGCTCGACGACGCCGCGGAGAAGGTGCGCCAAACCAATACTTAACCACTTCCCTGCCCGCGAGTATGCTGCTCTTTGTATCATGCTATATTATGCTTGTAACCCGAATGGGTTGGCTCGACCAGGGAGCGACCACACTTTCACAAAACACCATCTTAAAATAGCAGCTTTACGCTTCTGTCTTTCGTATGGTAAGTGTAGAGAACCTTTTTACTGGATACTAGACATTCCATCTTAGCCCTCAGGGGTGACAATGAATCTGAATTTTGATTTTTAATTAAGGATAAATATAAATGTATATGGGACACAGTATCCACTTGACATCAGGTGGACTGTGTGCACGCTTGTCACCTATATTCAATTCTATTATAAATATATATTCAGTTCATAAAGTTGTTTAATTAATTAGTTAAAGTAAAGTTTGATGAATAATAAAGTGTCTATGCATGTGAACCATTTTAAATAAATGATGAAAATCAGACGCTGAAAAATGAACTTGACATTCTATCGTCATCGACTATTTCCTGGCAGTCTAATGTAAATTTGTTTAAATTTTTTTTTAAACCCCTATGCAAAAAGATGCGTGTTATAAGTTTAACCGCACCGCAGTTCTTAAACGGGTAAACCGATTTGTGTACGGTTATTTTATTTAAAGGCAAGTTTTGCTAGCGAAACACTTCTTAAACTTGTTTTATCAAAATCGGTTCGGCCGTTTCAATGTCATCAGCTGTTTTCTTTCGGGCGTTTTGATTTTTTTTAATTTTATTTTTATAATTAATTTTAGTGATTAACGAATTAACAGTATACCTGATGGTAACTAGATAAAGCAGATACTGCAATCCAGGGACACATATAACCAACTTTGGTATTGATTATGCGATCGTGTACTCTTTAAAGCAGCACCGCTGATGGACGCGTTTAGAACCAACATATATTAACCAGCTTGGTCAACGAGCTTCCGTCGAGGCTGCTGAACTAATTATAAACAAAAAAAGTATCAGATACGTTACCTCTAAGAAGGAATGCCTCAAAGTCTGTAATTATTTTAGCTCTTTACCCTTCAGACTGAAACAAAGCAGTGCAGGCATTGCTATTTAGCAACAGAAATAGGTACAAACGGACTCCTAGACAGGAAAGGAGAAGGCAGAAAGTGTAGTTTTGTGTTTATGAAAATGTCAACAACGCAATTTTCGACGTAGTTGTGGCGTCTGTTTATCGAATCTCAGGTCAAATGAAAGGTTTAGTTTTCGTTTGATTGCAAAAGTTCCAAATAGAAATGAGTTGTCGTGTGTGCAGATCGAGGAGCTGGAGCGGTCGAAGCGCGCGCTGCAGGCGGAGCTGGACGAGCTGGCCAACACGCAGGGCACGGCCGACAAGAACGTGCACGAGCTGGAGCGCGCCAAGCGCGCGCTCGAGTCGCAGCTGGCCGAGCTGCGCGCGCAGAACGAGGAGATCGAGGACGACCTGCAGCTCACCGAGGACGCCAAGCTGCGCCTCGAGGTCAACATGCAGGCCATGCGCGCGCAGTTCGAGCGCGAGTTGCAGGTACATTCATTCATTTATTCACTCGTTCATTCAAATAATACACTCGATTGGAACCCATCATGCTGCACGGGCAAATAAGTACCATGAAGCAAATACAAAGAGAAGACGTTGTAATTAAATTTCACTATGTAACAACGCGTGACAATTTGCGGGGTGAGGGGATGCAAAGCCCCGCCCACTTTACACTATCTACATCTACCGATAAATAGTAAAACTACTCGAACCTTTCCATATCGATGTTGCAATGTAGCTTAGCTACCTTGACGGTAGATGGCGGCATGTCCACAAAGTATTATAAACTATAAAAATAATATTTTGGCGATTAAAATGTCTTTGTCTGAATACTAAACAAATTTCAAAACCTTCGTATGATTATTTTATCATTACTTTTATATTTTTAGTTCACAGGACACAAAGTGTCGCCATCTAGTGTAGAATATATTTAATTATATTTGAAAGCCGACGCAAAGAGATTTTTCTAGAACTATTTTAATAAATTAGGTGTAAAATTACTTACAAATGAAATGTGATGCCATCCATAGCATCGGAGCGTCTATCTCATGAAGCAAATACATTCAGACAAAGAAATTTTAATCGCCAAAATAATATTTTTATAGTTTTCATAATAATTTTGGGAACAGGCCGCCATCTATCGTCAAGTAAACCTCATAAAAAATAACAAAAATACAGGGCCGCAATTAGAATTCAATTATTTTACCCAGTAACCCAACATTCAATATTAAAATGCAGGAAATTGTACTTAGGCTGATTTTTACTGGGAAAAATAATTGAATTCTAATTAGGGCCCTGTCTTTTTGTCATTTTTATGAGGTTTACTTGACGAGAATACGGCCTGTTCTCAAAATGATTATAAACTATAAAAATAATATTTTGCGATTTAAATTTCTTTATGTCTGAATGCAAAACAAATTACAGCACCTTCGTATGATTATTTTACCAGTATTGAACTCTACGGACCTTTATATTTTTAGTTCACATGACACAAAGTCTCGCCATCTAGTGTCGAATATATTTAATTATATTTGAAAGCCGACGCAAAGAGATTTTTCTAGAACTATTTTAATAAATTAGGTGTAAAATTATTTACAAATGAAATGTGATGCCATCCATAACATCAGAGCGTCTATCTGAGTAGTTTTTACACAATAAAACACAACACTTCATCCTTTTCTTCTTAATACTACGAAAATACACCGATTTTTTCAACACATAGCGCACAGGACGAATGCTGACAGTATACTAACTAAAGCCGCGCCCACTATGATGACGTCAGGACCTACTTAGAATCACAGTGCACAGTTGCTTATGCCGTCTCCCCTTTGTATTAGCTTCATGATAAGTACCCTTGTTTTGATCTACCCGTACCTAATGTAATTCATATCATGCGTTATAATCCTACAACGGAAGTAGACAAAGAGTGTCTGAAAGACGAAGATGATCACAAGAAGGCTTGCGAACTATTTGCACCTTTATGTTTTTACACAAACATTAACTTTGACTTAAATTCGAACTTGGGAACTGCTGCATAGTAGCCACGTAGGCCGGTATGTAGGTGAAAGACAAAGATGATCTATAGCTCATCGAGAACACATGATCCACATCGTGGTAATGATTTTGCACATTTGCCAAATATTTGTACTAAATTATAATCACTCATGTGTGGCAAATAATACGAAAAAATACAGTAAAAGTTGAAAGTCCAGAAATTTAATTTTCAGTTACTAAATCATTTTTCTGATATTTAATAAATTTTGTTCGCCAGGCTAAGGAAGAGCAAGGCGAGGAGAAGCGTCGCGGCATCGTGAAGCAATTACGCGACCTGGAAGCAGAGCTGGAGGAGGAACGCAAGACGCGAGCCGCCGCCATTGCACAGAGGAAAAAACTGGAGTCTGATCTTAAGGACTCCGAGCAGGCCTTGCACCTTGCTAATAAGGTTTGTACATACAATCTATGCAGGGTGATGTACAGTACCGATTTTTGTTTAAAGCTAGCTATTGTTAATTAGTCTGCTGATATAAGGTAAAAAACAACCAAACAGTAATTTTTAAGTGTGGTGTCGAGTGTGGAGATGTTTTACGTTGTACATTGCATTACGCCAACAACTCAGAAGTAGAATTCCCCGCAGCGCATTAATATGGCTGTAGCACGAATCGGGGGAGGACAACTCGTACAGGATTCCATCGTAATAAATGCATTTCATTCACCATTATTTGACCCCGAGGATATTTATTTATTTACCACCGAGACCGTACCACGGACGGTATATAGCAATAGAGCAATAGAGACAAGTGGATGTATATGCAATGTGTGCTTAGTACAATAGGGTATTACACCCATTTTCAAATATTTTAAGTGAATCCTAGAGTGATATTGAATCAATATAATTTTTAAATAATTCTTTAAAACCGAAACTTTAATCGTTTTAAATTTTCGTGCGAAAACACTAGTCGCCATGCTGTTTATTAGCTCGTGACGTCACTAATAAGTAAATAAAAAGATTTTGCATAGGAATAAAATAATTTCTTGATCATTTGTGTGTTGTGTCTAAATGAAAAAATACGAGCATAAGAATGCCGGGGAAGTTACGAATTCAAGTGCCAATTGATTTAAATATGAGAAATACTTGGTTAAAACTGGCAAGAAAAACCCCGAAAACATTATCTACAAAGACTAGTCTATACTTCTGCGAAGATCACTTTGATGTAAGTATATTTGTTTTATCACTTCATAATGTTTATTCAAAACATAACATCATGAGGCGATAGGTATTGCAAGTAAAATTTTGTATTAGATTGGGTGTGAGATGGTAATCATAGATAAACATAACAATGTAATATCAAAAGATACTCTGACTTATAGTATTGTGTATAAACGAAAGTCCTCATGGGTACTTTCGCTGCGGGAGCAATGGGAAAATTATGCGGGACTTCTACCGGCTAAAACTCCTTGGTGGTTATAATCATCGAAGTTAAGGAGTCCCGGTCCCGGGAGCTTCGTTTGGAACGCAATCGAGCACTCATATCGCTATTCTTTGCTCCCAGAACATTCCGAGGATAGTACTTCCTGACTCCTTTTTTATCGTGGGAAAATTCTCATGAATACCTTCGGCTGCAGGGGAAACAGAATGGTTATGCCGGATTTCTTAAGCACGTCCTGGAGGTAGTACTTGCTGCCCGCAGCACCCTCGCAGTGCTATCGCGATGTCTCGGCATCACTTCAGTCATCTTCCTCTCCAGAGGTTTCATTACTAGGTGGTCGCGCCCCCCTCCCCCCCCCGTCGAGCACCCGTAACCCTAGAGGCTCCGTTTCTGATACGGGACGCCATAGTCAAGGGGAGGGCCATGACAAACGCATTGGCCACGTCGTCTCCGAGCGGGATCTGTCCTCATTCGACAGCAGTCTCTTTCTGGACCATAATGCATTCACAGAAGGCGGCTACAGCCATCCACCGACATGATTGCTGGCAGGGAGAGGTTCTGATCGATCCGGCTCACCAACACCGTCCGCTTCCGTTCCCACTGGACATGTTACCACTTACCAGGGATGCGGAGTCCTGGTCCTGCCCACCGCAGTGGAAGGTCGCCGTCGCTTTGCGTCCGATCTTACCTACTGACTAACACAGATGATTACCGGGAATGGGTGCTTCGGTTATTATGTGTGTGAGTCTTCCTGTTCGTTGATGTATCCAGGCTTCCAAGTGCTGCAGGATTGCTTCAATAATGCGTTTGCACGTATAACGCTCCTTAGAGAGACGAGCGTCCCACGTGGCGGATGCGTTTTCCTGCCGCTTAACTCCCTCGAACACCTCATCTGGCCCACTCTTGCCGCTCTGGTCGTCGCCGCGTCGTATATGCGTATATCCTCGCATCCATATCCGCCAGTTTCTCCAAAGGTGACGAAAATCCTGGTTCGCGTTTCGCAGCCAGGATTTTCGTCACCTGAAAGGATAATGTGCGGTATTCACGCACGATCCATCATCGCCGCACACTGTAGATTTTAGTTAGACAGCGTCGGGTGGTTAGCCTTTTGTTCATACAGGCGCCCGGAACAAGGCTCACGCTTGCATAGAGGCGACGCACTTCTTCCCTTGTTCCCCTTAAATTGATTAGCATTCTATGCATAGCACCCTTTCAATCCCTGGGGATTAGGCGCTCGAATTATTCTTCGAAGCCCCAACGACTATCCAGGTGGAGGCCTGTACGTTATTGTCCAGGTAGAGAGACCTAAGTACTTCATGTACCGCCCCACTCTGACTTCAGACCCACCCGATCGGACGCACTAGTCGGGTGGTTCCCTGCCGCGTATTAATTTATGGAACCATAGGACCTGGGTCTTGTGAGATACTATTTTTAATCATAACTCTTGGATTTTGGCTACGACTTTGACGCCCCAAGCTCGGTGAGCTCTTCGGCTCTCTCGAAGGTGAGCCCACTGGCAACCACCAACGTATGCACGTGATCCAATTGCACAATTTCTCGGGAAGCCCATAGGAAAGGAAAGGAAGTAAGCAGTGAAATGGGCCTTTAGTTTGTGGGAAGTCTTTTCTCACCTGAATTGTATATGGGCGTGACTATTGCTCTTTTGAATATATTAAGGAAGGTCCCTGTATTAAAGTTTAGGTTGCACATTTGCGCCACAGATTCAGCCAAAACATGACAACTGTCCTTAAATATCCTACAAGGTATGGCATCCCAGCTAGGTGCACTGAATTGCCTGAGTACCTTTATGGTATTTAATACTTCCAACGGATCAAAAAAGGAACAAAGTACAAATGAGTTAATCGAAGGGCTGTTCGAAGTCATTGTGTTTGTTATTGTCCAGTTAGAGAGACCTAGGTACTTTATGTAACGCTTAACTCTGTATTTAGACTGAAAAACGCAGACGTACGTGTTGGATTGTTATTTGGATTTGGATTGTTGTGGTAATTTGTGAAACCAAATAGGGCCTTCGTCTTGTGAGGCGCTATTTCTACTCTTGAAACTCGTTTATTAGGTGACGACGACTTTCGTTTTAACCTCGACGAGTTCTTTGCTCAAAGTTGACCTCGCTGGCGATCACCAGTGTATTGTTAGTATAATTTGCGATGTCGATACCAGCGAGAAGGTGAATTTGCAGAATCGCATCATTGATTAAGTTCCATACTTAGAATAAATAAATAAGTAGCGGTTCCAGTATCGTGCCCAGCGGAATCTCTAGTTTGTTTGCCGTGGAGACATCCACATTGTAATCGGATTAATGCACCGTATTACAAAGCAAATTGTGAGCAAGTGACGATGTGTTGTGTGGTACAGGTGAAGGAGGACGCGGCGAAGCAGGTGAAGAAGCTGCAGCAGCAGCTGAAGGAGGCGGCGCGCGAGGCGGAGGAGGCGCGCGCGGGGCGCGAGGAAGCGGCGGCGGCGGCGCGCGACGCCGAGCGGCGCGGCAAGGCGCTGGAGGCGGCCGCCGCGCAGCACGCCGAGGAGCTGGCCGCCGCCGAGCGCGCGCGCCGCCACGCCGAGGCCGAGCGCGACGACCTGCTCGACGAGCTCGCCGCGCACGCCGCCAAGGTACGCGCACACGCACGCACATCTAAGTGTACACTTACACACACACATTCACTTGACTATGAAACGTGCAAGGGGCATATGCATACACGCGCACGCACAATCATACACACGTCCGTAGTTAAGCTGCGCAAAGTAAATTAATATTTAACATAGAAATTCGGAGCTTTAACTCTTTCTATTATGTCGTATTTCATCCTTATTTTGCCTGCTTCGTTGGTCTAATGGTTGAATCGTCAGTAACCTAACGGCAGGGCACGGACCGTGAACTCGAAAGGTCGTGGGTTTGAATCCACCATTCGACTACTGTCGTGAACCACTTCTAACACAAGCATTTTAAGCTTACCAAAAGTGGTTAAAGGGAATATTAGTAATGTTTAATAGCATTACTAGTATTCAAAAAAAAAATGGTCGTAAACGCGATTCTACTCTTGAGGTCCCGGATTCATATCCTGTGTCAGGCCAAAATCAGTTATTGGTCAAAATCAATATCATGTCAACAAATTCTCAGAAGCAGCCCGGAGTCAGGAATTTGGCGCTGTTTCTCTGATCTCGTTCCGGTCGTGTCGGATTACTGTTCCAGTGGATTATGAGAGTGAGAGAATTTCAAGACGGATGAATAGAGATCGTCCTTTATGTGGAGGATGGTATAACAGTCTCCCGTAGGTGGCGTAAAAGGCGACAAAGGGAAACAGGCAGGAGATGGGCAGCAGCATCTTCCTGATAATAGCCAAAATTACAATAAAAAAACTGCGGTTGTCAACCCGCTCGCCAAGTGTGGCAACTATGGGAAATACCCCCCTATGATTAGAGCAACAAACAGACAGCCCCCAGTCCCCGGCAGCCCCGCTATTCCTGGCTACGGTGGCGACCATGGTAACGGCGGGGCAGGGGGTGCTAAGAATCTTCGGTGGAGGTTCGGTTGCCACCTTAGACGACTCGACCTGGCAACGTACAACGCACGCACCCTGAGGACTGACGAGAAGTTCGTGGAGCTGGAAGAAAAGATAGACAAGTTGCGCTGGCATATTATTGGATTATCCGAAGTCCGAAGAGAGGGTGAGGACACGGTAATCCTCGAATTCGGCAACTTACTCTATCACTGGGAGGGCGACCATCTGTCCCAAAGAGGTGTCGGATTTATCGTCCACAAGTCTCTCGTTAACAACGTTGTAAAGATCGGTAGTGTGTCGACGAGGGTTGCGTACCTTATACTCAGAATCACCAAACGGTATTCGCTGAAGGTCATACAGGTTTACGCACCAACCTCGGTACACCCCGATGAGGAGGTGGAGGAAATGTATGAGGATATCTCTAGAGCCATGCATTCCTCCAAAACCCAATATACGGTGTTAATGGGAGACTTCAATGCAAAACTAGGCACAAGAGAGAACGGTGAGCTGAAAGTAGGGAAATTTGGAATAGGGCAACGGAACCCAAGCTGGCCGACTTCATGGAGAAAGAGGGACTCTTTATGATGAACTCTTTCTTCCAGAAGCGGCCCCACAGGAAGTGGACCTGGTCGAGCCCCAACGGTTCGACAAAAAATGAGATTGACTTCATTATGACGACCAGACGACAACTGTTCAGTGATGTCTCCGTGATCGCGAGGGTGAAAACTGGTAGCGATCGCCGAATGGTTAGAGGCACACTGAACCTAAACGTTAAGTTGGAGAGGTCTCGTCTAATGAAGTCAACGCTCCGTCCCCCTCGTGCTCTGTTCCAAAGTGCCGAAACCTTTCAGCTCGAGTTACAAAACCGTTTTCAGTGCCTAGAAGACTGCAATGAAGTGGACGATATAAATGACAAGCTCGTGGAAACTGTCCATGCGGTCGGAGCTAAGTTCTGCAACTCTCCGATCACACTCTTAATCTCATGGCTGTTAGACGGGAAATGAAGCTACATTCTTCAACAGATTTGACAGCATACAGGCAACTGAACAGACAGATCTCCAAATGCATGCGGCGGGACTTACGCAACTTCAATACAGCTCGTATTGAAGAAGCGATCGAGCGGAACCAAGGCTCCAAAGTCTTTGCCAAGAGATCTGTCTGCCAGAAAGAACCAACTGTCAAAGCTGAAGACCGAATGTGGCAGCATCGTTTCCGGGACACCTGAGATTTTGACTGAGATTGTGAGGTTCTATGGGCAGCTGTACACGTCATCGTTGGAGCCACACGTAAGTGCTAGTAACGATCCAAGAGCGAATCTTATCCGACACTATTCCTAAGATATCCCGGACGTCAGTCTGAGCGAGATTAGAATGGCTCTCCAGCACCTTAAAAACTGCAAGGCCCCAGGCGAGGATGGAATTACAGCGGAGCTTCTGAAAGCGGGTGGAAGACCGGTACTTGAAGTCCTTCAGAAGCTCTTTAATTCCGTCCTCCATGGTGGCATTACACCGGAGGTGTGGAGCAGAAGTGCGGTGGTCTTGTTCTTCAAAAAAGGTGACAACGTTCTCTTAAAGAACTATAGACCGATTTCCCTTCTGAGCCGCGTCTACGTGCTGTTTTCTCGAGTCATTACGAATCGTCTCGCGTGCAGACTTGACGACTTCCAGCTTCCCGAACAAGCCGGTTTCCGAAAGGGCTTTAGAACCATAGACCACATACATACCCTTCGGCAAATTGTACAGATGTCCGAAGAGTACAATTTGCCACTATGTCTGGCGTATGTGGACTATGAGAAAGCCTTTGATTCCGTCGAAATTTGGGTGGTGCTGCAGTTCCTTCAGCGGTGCCAAGTTGACTGTCGGTATATCGAAGTGCTGAAGTGTTTGTACAGTAGAGCTACGATGGCTATCCGAGTACAGAACCAGAGTACGAAACCTATCCAATTGCAGAGAGGTGTAAGACAGGGTGATGTTATATCCCCGAAACTCTTCACCGCTGCATTGGAAGACGTTTTCAAGCTTCTGGACTGGAAAGGATACGGTATTAACATCAATGGCGAGTACATCACTCACCTTCGATTTGCCGACGATATAGTCCTTATGGCAGAATCGCTGGAGGACCTAAGCACTATGCTCAATGACCTCAGTAGTGTTTCCCAATGGATAAGTCTTAAGATGAACATGGACATAAAAAATGTTTAATGTCCATGTCACACCTATGCCGGTAGTTTTTGGGAGCACTAAGCTCGAAGTTGTTAACGAGTATGTTTACCTGGGACAAATAGTCCGACTGTGTAAGTCCAACTTCGACCGAGAGGTCAATCGACGGATTCAACTCGGCTGGGCAGCGTTCGGGAAGCTACGACACATCTTCTCGTCAGACATACCTCAAAACCTTAAAACGAAATTGTAAAACCAGTGCGTTTTGCCAGTGATGACTTACGGAACTGAGACGTGGTCCTTCACTGCTGGCCGTATGAGGAAGCTCAAGGTCGCTCAGCGAGCTATGGAGAGGGCTATGCTCGGAGTTTCTCTGCGTGATAAACTTAGGAATGAGGATATCCGCAGTAGAACCAGAGTGACCGACATAGCCCAACGGATTATTAAGCTGAAGTGGCAGTGGGCCGGCCATATAGCTCGAAGAACCGACAACCGATGGGGAAGAAAGGTTCTTGAGTGGCAGCCTCGTACTGGTAGGCGAAGTGTAGGGCGACCCCCCACGAGATGGAGTGACGACCTGGTAAGACATGCAGGAAGTCGATGGATGCAGGTGGCTCAGGACCGTGCTTTGTGGCATTCCTTGGGGGAGGCCTATGTTCAGCAGTGGACTTATGAAAGGCTGTAATGATGATGATGATGATGACGAAAGCAATTCTATAATTACTAAAAAATTATTTCTGAATAATAACACAAAACGTAACTAAAATGCTTTACAGAACACGAGCTTAGTTGATGAGAAGAAGCGGCTCGAAGCCAGGATATCAGCGCTTGAGGAGGACCTAGATGAAGAACAGTCCAACAACGAGATACTTAACGACCGGTTGCGAAAGTCACAGGTCAGTTGTCGTTTTTTCTTTTCTTTTAAATACCATTACTGCTGCTTTTTTACTTTTTTATTATATATTTATTGTCAATGACATATGTTATGTAGCCTATATAATATTTCTGATTCATAATTATAAATTATTATTATTATTATTATTCTGTTATTATATCAGTCTTATTTTAAGTAATTTAAAGTGCAAGGTTGTCTATCCGCCCTGCCAAGGCCGAAGCACTATCATAGCCCTCGTACAATAGTAAATTCTTATCCCACGTCATTATAGTGTATTTTAGTAGTTACATAATTGGGTCAGTTTTTCTAATTTAACCAAAGGCTAAAATTTAATACTATTTTTATTAAATTAACAAGATCCATACGATAACTTCAATCAAATGAGAGTAGTAATTATTTGCTTATAGTTAAAAAGTTAAAGTTACAGCTTATATACGTCCCACTTCAGTGGAGAAGCCTCCCCTCATTTCTGAGAGAGTTTTAAGGCAAGGAAGTGTTTGCCGCGCTGCCCTAGGGCGTGTTGGCGAACTTCACATGTCTTCGAAGTATATTTTGTTTTCTTATTTCTCAGACATGCCACTTTCCTCACTTAAAATTGCAATTAACAATTACATTGGTGCCGGTGGGGATCGAACCCGGGTTGCTTGCGTACTGTGAAATTCACAGCGAGTGCCGATCACCTGAGCTACCACGGCTCTTATATATAGTTATTTGCTTATGGTATCACCCTATAGACTTTCTAAATAATTAACTAATTAACATTATTTATGCTTGTAGAACCAAATCGACCAACTGACGATGGAACTGGGCACGGAGAAGGCGGCCACTCAGAAAATGGAGAGTGGCAAGCTGGTGCTGGAGAGACAGAACAAGGAACTGAAGGCCAAGCTCGCAGAGCTCGAAACAGCTGGACGCACCAAGACCAAGGTATTGATCCTGTGTTCTTCATATTGTTGTGTGTTTTCAGTGAGATAAGATGTATTCCATCTTAGTTTCTTAGTCCTCATAGATGACAACGTCTCTGTAGTATTTTTTTATTTTAATTTATTATTTCTTCATTCATAGTCTGTAGAAGCCAGTTATAATCAGTTGACGGTAAGTTCGTTTGTCACTTCAAATGCATATAAAAAAGATCGTATAAGAGATTATAGGCGTGACGTATATATGTTAATATATAGTAATGTGGAGATGTGTGGGCAGGGTGTGATCACGTCGCTGGAGCTGAAGGTGTCTAACCTGGAGGAGCAGCTGGAGGCGGAGTCCCGCGAGCGACTGGCGCAGCAGAAGGCGTCGCGCAAGCTCGACAAGAAGATGAAGGAGCTCGCGCTGCAGCTCGACGAGGAGCGCCGCCACGCAGACCAGTACAAGGAGCAGATCGAGAAGGTAACACATACACAAACGTTTTCACGTGCTGCAGAAATATTCCGTTTTAGAAAGACTTACAGAATACCTGCATAATATAGCAGCCTAATTATTCTGCTTTGTTTCGTAGGGTACTTACCAAGACCGTACCGACCGTAGAGAACCGGAGACCGCTATTATTCGAAACAAGTCACTCCATCTTAGACCTCAGGGGTGACAGCGGAACTCTATTTTAATTTTTAATAGAGGATGGATGTAGGTGTCTATCGGCGATATCATGAGCACTGTGTGTTCGTTTGTCACCCTTATTCTGTAAAAAAAAAACGCCGTGCAATCGAAACTGAAACGGCAACTGAAACAACAAAACAAATAAAAAGAAAAAAAATTGCTGGCTATATCCTAGCAGGGTATCCCTAGTGTCATTTATGATCAGCAATAAATTCTATGATTGTATTACATCTTTATATATAAAAATTACGTGACACATTGTTTGTCCGCGATGGACTCCTAAACTGCTAAACTGATTGCAATGAAATTTATCACACTGTGTGCAGTTTGGTTCAACTTGAGAGATAGGATAGTTTTTATTCGTATAAGTGACTCCCAATATTTTTTTATTACGAATTTAAGAATTTTTATAGGACACAGGGTCGTTGAAAAGAGCAGTACGACGTCTGCCTGGCCAGCTAGTACATTTATATATGACATATATTTGCATGGACACTGGTTCTTAGGTACCAGTTGATAGGTTCTGCCAATTTTTGAACTCTTGTTTTTTTTTTTATATTGTGTTTCAGCGACAAACTGACAACAAATTTTGACCACTTTTCGACTTAATTATCATTGATTTCTTTATTTTAGTGTTAATTTGATGCTTCTAGCAATTAATTGGCAACTAATTGAAATACAAATTCTCATGCAAATTTCGATTATATCTGCAAACTTTTTTACTTTTTGAATAATCGAGACTCTTTCTATAATTATTAATAGTAATAGAAAACTATAAAAACGCATTGTTATATTATATGTCACTTTGAAGTCACGTGACAATCACATAACTTACGTTGCTTTCGTTTAGTTTTAACGAATGTAGAATGTCAACTTAGCCAACTCCGTTGAGTGATGAATCGCTAAGCCGGTAGTTGTGAAGGGTATGCTAACATGGCAGCGTGTTGCAGATGAACACGCGCGTGAAGACGCTGAAGCGGCAGCTGGACGAGGCGGAGGAGGAGGTGCAGCGCGAGAAGGTCGGCAAGCGCAAGGCGCAGCGCGAGCTCGAGGACCTGCTCGAGACGCACGAGACGCTCGCGCGCGAGTGCTCCAACCTGCGCAACAAGCTGCGGTACGTACACACGCACATGCCTGCACGAACACGTACACTCGTACGTCCACACACACACGTACACACGCTCGCATATACGTGCACGAAAACGTACACTCGTACGTCCACACACACACACACGTACACACGCACGCACATACGTGCACGAACACGTATACACGTACGTCCACACGCACGCACACATGCAAACGCACGCACATAGAAGTTTAAGTTTACGTTTTAATACCAGCGTAAAAATAACAGCTTAATGCTGCTGTGTTTCGTATGGTGAGTGTAGGGAACCGGAGACCCTCTTTACTGAAAACAAGATATTCCATCTTAGTCTGGAGTGGCAGGGGTGGCAACGCATTTTGATTCTTAATCGAGGATAAATGTAGATTGTTATGGGCTACCACTTCCACTTACCATCACTATGTACCAGGTGGACTGTATATTCGTTTTTTCTTTAAAAAAAAACGCACGCACACAGAGAAACGCACGTAATCATGCGTATATGCGTATACGCATCCGTCTCCACAACAAACATAAAGACGTTCCTGACAGTAAACTTGACAATTTTATACCTGAATGTTTGGATATTATTTTCTATTGTGCATACCTATTTTCAATATTATTTTTACTGTACAAATGTTATTTTAATTGCTAGCAATATACGATTGTTCAAACGCAACATCTGTGACGTTCATCCCAAATAGAACAAACTAAAATAGTTATTTTCTAAGTATTCATGAAAGCGTGTCCTAGAATTAAAGCTGCTACATTCAAACTACTTCATTTATTTAATATCTCGATAACGTAAATATTCACAGAAATATTATATTTGTTTAGGCCATCCTTCTCAGATAGTAGCGACTAGCGGTGCATTGGCGGCTAGTGTGAGGTAACCGAGGTGTGAGACTGCAATGTTAATGGTTCAGTTTGGCTAATAAATTCATAAATGTATCATTGGTTAACTCAACAGTACTATACTTTGAATGATTTAAGCTTACATTTCACCAGTTGTTTTGTTTGGGATTGGCGGCAAATATGTTTGTCTGTGTCGTCTCTTGTATATTGTATGTATGTATATTGTATAATGTGCGATGTTGTGTAATTAAAATAAAAATGATAAGCGGTCTTTTTGATACTTTTAAATTTAATACAAGTTACGAAGTAATTCGAGGGCTTAAAGTTAGTCCGCCCAAAAATATGCAGTTTATAAAACCATTTTTATTTCGGGCTATTTCCTTTTGGTTTTCTGTATTGTATGATTTATTAGCTGAAATTGAACAAAAACTTGCATATGGGAAGTTTTATGTCAGTTGCTATAAAGGTTAACAGAGCGACCTTGTTACATCAACTTGTACGTTTGCGTTATCATTGCTTTCTCATACGGTTCATATCGCATTAATAATTTTAGCTTATTTCATATTAGAATAATTAACATACTATTAACAACTTTAAAAGCATAATAGAAAAAATACAATACTATTCCGATGAAAATTAATTATATATGTAATAATATTTTTTTATGAACAGATATCACCTCAGAATGTAAATGAAAAAGAAAATTTATATTTAGTTGTCCGCCACAAAAGTATAAATATAGGTCTACTAACTAACTTAACAGAAATATGAAATGTTGTGATATTTTTGCAGCGGACTGGAGCCTAAACGAGGGTATCCCTATATTTCAGTGTTGCCAAAAAATATTTATATTAGTACAAAAATGGATATTCCCTAATGATTTTTTATATTTACGCGAACACTACACATTGAATAAAACTAATTTTACGGATTCTATCTTAAAAGTAGTTTTATTCAATGTGTACTGTATTATGTACTATTATTTTTTATTATCTCCCGAGGTTTCGGCACAGAATACATGTACCCTGACGGGAAGAACGAAAACTTCATACAATAAAAATGCTAACAGCTTGCGACACTAGCGCGCCAGTTTTTGATCCATGAACTAACAGATGTGAATGTGTGCGTGTGTATATGTATAATTCTCATTGCCCACCCTCACATTCAATATTCTATTTTTAATCATAATATATTACTATCCCCATTCCAATTTTCCACGAATGTAGAAATTACATTCTACATTAGTAAAAAATTGGAATGGAAATAGTAATAAATGAATAACATATTATAAAATTTTAAATATTTAATAACACAAATCTTAAGAGGAAGATTAAAGTTCACAATTAGCTATGCATTGATACATAAGTAGACAATTGGTATGGAACACGGTTAATAGTTTTTCAGAAATAAAACAATTATTTTCATAGAGATTTAAATATATTATTAACTAGTAATATTATAGACTGAAATAAACTTGGGCACTCAATTTTAGATGATTATAGACGCATCTTAGAACACACCGTTTTCAGTAATCGATTATTGTTCGTTAAACATCTTCATTAAGTAAAAAAACAAACACCATAAATTAAATATTGGCTAGTAACACCACACTTAAGTTATTTTTCTACGAAATATACTAAATCGTAACTAAATCGACATCAATTTTGAATTTGGCTTAGAAAAGTTAAACAAAACTAACTCCATTTAATATGAAAATGATTTGAACCATTCCCGTTTAAAATAATATCTAATTGATGTAAAATGAACTTTGAAACTTGTTCTTTTCTTAATTTTATGAATATGTAATAAATAATAATCTAGTTTAAGTTTTTATTTCACAACAGTCATAGATACATTTATATTTTCGGCTACAGAGCTTGTTGCACAGAGTAATAATTTCAATCGGACATAAAAATAATCGGAACGTAAAATTTAATTTATACTTTCATGAATTAAACAACTTTTATTTGTTATGTATATTACAAAATATATAGTTTATAATTTATAAGATAAGTAAAGATAATTTTTAATGGGCAGGCGACAACGATATTAAAATGCAAAAATAAAAGTTCCTAAACTGTAATTGAAATACAATGCGTAACATGGTTCAATAGTGATTTCTCTGTCTTGCGTATAGCGCTGTCTCTGTTTCGCTTATTTTGCCCGACGTTTGCATCGGCTCCATAGAGACTTGACCCCCCGTGGGTTTCGGGTGCTTTACAGCACCCATGGTCACGGGGGACTGAGGTGATTGACGTCCCGATGTCAGAGTTAACCCGGAGTACCTTCAGCTTTTTTAATTATTAATTTTGGTCTGATCTACGCAGAATGAACTTACTGTGTAGTATAAAATTAATTGTCAAAATAATTAAAAACAAATAAAAATATTAATAAACTTACATAACTTACAAAGATCGTTGTTGTTTTCTCTTAATGTTTGTAGTTGTTTACTATTGAAGTTAGATTTAAAACTATAACTTATTTGTAACGAAAATCGGTCATCAAATAACGCTATCAAGATATTTGTAGCAGCATGTGGAAATGTTCGATTCATAAACATCGAGATATGACTGAATTTTTAGTGTAAAATTATAATAAAAAAATAAACCATTAGTGAATTATTTCTAAAGGACTAAAATCGAAAACAAAATGGCATTATGAACGTGCTTCACTTTTATTTAAAACACTATCACCTACAGACTTAAATCATCTCTTGAGTTCATTAATCAATCTAATGGTTCAGTCCATTTCTCTATGTCTATAGTCGTAAGTTACGTGATACACATTGAAGTGAAAACTTCTTTAGAATCGTTGTGATTTGAAACTTGAAATGAAACGAAAACGTAACACTAAAAAGAGACACAATTATATACATCTATAGGATTTAGCCTGCGAGAGAATGAGATAGAAAACAGTATACAGTGTTTTCTATTATCTCGGTCTGCTTTTCTGAAGGTTTCGCTTCTACCGCGTATGTGAACTGCGTTCATGTTTTTTTTTTGATAGATTAATTTTGTGTATACAGGCGGCAGGGAGGTGGCATAAGTCTTTCTGGCGCGTCGTCGTCTTCTCGCATCAAACGCACCTCGCTGGCACCGGGCGCAGGCTCCGGCGACGAATCCTTCGACGATGTCAACGACACCACCAACAGCGTCGAGTAACCGCCCGACAACCGCCCGATAACCGCTCGAAAACCGCCCGTGCGGCCGGCCCACGTTCGGATAGTACCACCAAAATTATATACGTCGATTGATTTGCACGCAAAATGATCATTGTTGTCTATTATTCCATTACGCATTTAATGTATTATTATTAATTTAGACCCGAAACAGGGATTTAAAATTGAATGTATCGCTCTTATATAAATCACCACATTGTTATGTGCTAAATTAAATGTTTGAATAAAAATAAGAAACGATATCGAATTATTTATTGAAACCATATTGGATGGGGCGTTCTTAAAAAAATACGTCGCCAAAAATCTTCACAGTTGCCTACATATATTGTTATAATTTAATAGAATGGAGTTTTTATCTTTTATTTTTTTTATATTTTTTAGTTACAATAACTTCTTAATTTCAATGGTCTACAAACAAATGTAGTAGATTTCATATTAATTGTTACTTAATGTGGTGTCTTGTGAAAAAAAGCAATAAAATGTGAAAAGAGAAATAAAAATGTTAAAAACATTTTTTTTACTTTCCCAAAATATATGCTGTCAAGAACAAACTTGTTATTTTAGATATGTAAATAAAATATTTTGGTTTACATCTTACTTTTTCAAAATGCGAATGGTAGTGGTAAGCATTAGTGTGATTAATTTGAAGCTTCAGTAAATATTTTGATTTGTTTTTTGCGAAATATTTTTGAAAATTTTCAACAACTTATGAAACCTAATGCTTACTGCCATTTTCAATTGCTTCAATCTTGCATGTGCATAACGATACTTTTGTATATATTCAGCGTATTAATATCTCTGTAACTCTAAATTTTACTGAAACTACACCTAGTTATTATGACTTGTGTAATGCTATTTGTTATTCAAATTGATTTAGGTTTAATGATGTTTCATTGCTGTAATTTATGTGGATTTCTTGCATTTGTCAGAAGCATTGTATCATTGACTTATACCTTCATTTTAATTGAAAAACTATTATTGCATACTTACTATAAAATAAAAATTGCTGCAAGAAACCGTATAGTTATATGAAATACTTAAAGACCATTGCATTAAAATTGATTTACGAATCACCCATCGCTGTCGTAGATGATGTCATAGATGTGGTAGATATATTAATTTTAAAGTTTTGTATTTAATCAACGATGTCACTAATGTTAAGTTTTCTTGTTATAAAACCGCATCGGCTTTGTACCTATTGTGATTGAGTCAATTCTTTACGGAAAAACATTGACGTGAAGTGATGATAAGCAATGAATTTTTTTGATATTTTTACATTTTAACCGTGGACTGTTGTGGGTGCTCAGAATATACGATTGCATTTAGATTCGGTGATGTACTTGAATTTGCAGTTTTTACAGTAATTTTATGCCCGACAGTATAGTTTTGTGCCAAAAAAATTATAATCTCACTGTGCTAGGCTCTTGAGCGGTTTGCGCGTTACGAAAATAGTAGTTTATGAGTATTGCCTACACAATTTGAAGTGTTGCCAACAACAACTGTCTAAATAAAATTGTGTGCTACCTCCATCATCGAGCAGTAATTTCCTGTAAGATATAAACATAATAGACTTACTTGGATCACTTTTCCACAGAACCAGTATTAATAACGAGACATTCCTAATCAATCGAGTTTTCAATTTTACCTAGACTTAGTTGGACGGGTAGAATGTTAAATTACTCATTGGGTGATATTTTATTAAATTTAAAAAAATAAGATATAATAAAGTATTATAATCTGTGGTAAAGGGAATTTAAAAATTTGATAATGCATTTATTGCGACTGACTAACGTTGCCCACGTTGGACTATCCGAGGACTTTAGTGTGGGGAAGTAGAAGTGAGTTTATAAACTACGTATCATATTTTAAACCTCCCATGGCAACACCATATTCAACTTCTTCCTTCTGCTTTTTCAAATCTAATTTTTACCCACAGTGACAAAGACTGGTGTTGCGACAATACAACTGTATCCCCATAGCATGAACCATTCAAACAATCTTTTGTTATGATATTTTTAATTAAACATGTTCAGATATAAAAAATACTTATTTAATATTGTCAATGGCATTGCGCGACTAGACTTTTAAAACATTATTGACAGTTTTTACATAAATATACCAAAAAAGGGATTCTTTCTGTTCTTATGTCTGAGCATGCTTATTTAAATACTGCATTCGAAATACATCATGTAAATAATTTCAGTGTGTGAATCACTGAGCGCTTAGTTGCCATAAAATTTTTATTCATAGTTAAGTAAGGACATAAGCTTTGGGTGTAACGGAACGCATTTTAGCCGTCAATAAAGGGCAAAAATTGTCTATGTCATTAAATAAAAAGAAAAAAAATGATACACGGATGCGTTCCATATAGGTATTCTAACAATTTTCATATCTTTTTTTTTTACTATCAAACGGTCGTCAGCGGGAAATGTAAATACACGTCGACGACTCTCGAAATGTAAATTTGCATAAAAAATGGTATGTGTATTACAAAGGTACGCGCTAGAACACGGTTTGCTCTTATAATGTTAAGTGAGAATTAGTAATAAATCGTGGCCTTAGGAGTTTACTACGGACGCGAGGAGGAGCGTCGTCACGTACGATTGCCTAAACCACCTCGTTTGATGAATAAAAGTATCTTTACGACCATTTTATACAACCTATATACCGAAGTCTTAATTATTGTAATGACCTCGTCTTTTTATTATATAGTTCTTTCTGAATAATAATATAAAAATTAAATGTAAGTAAACCATTGAAGCATAAAAATATTTTACATAAATATTATATTTAATTATTAACAATATTGATAATTGTAAAATTGGCCACAGGTTGTAACAAGTTATCAGTTGGTATGCCAATTAAACAATTTTTCATGATTTTTAATACCAATTGTTTCATTTTTTTACCTGATTTATATCCATTATTATTACATTAGAAAATGTAAAAAGATGCAGTTCAGTCTGCCGCAATACTAGCTTCCAATTTAATAACTAATTTTAAGATCGGTTTTAGTTAAAAATCACATATATTAATCACATACATAATCGAATTTAATGAAACATCATTCGGTATTACACACACATCATCATCATCATCATCATTACAGCCCTTCATAAGTCCACTGCTGAACATAGGCCTCCCCCAGGAATGCTACAAAGCACGGTCCTGAGCCACCTGCATCCATCGACTTCCTGCATGTCTTACCAGGTCGTCACTCCATTTAGCGGGGGGTCGCCCTACACTTCGCCTACCGGTACGAGGCTGCCACTCGAGAACCTTTCTTCCCCATCGGTTGTCGGTTCTTCGTGCTATATGGCCGGCCCATTGCCACTTCAGCTGACTAATTCATTAGGCTATGTCGGTAACTCTGGTTCTACTGCGGATATGCTTATTCCTAAAGTTTATCACGCAGAGAAACTCCGAGCATAGCCCTCTCCATAGCTCGCTGAGCGACCTTGAGCGTCCTCATACGGCCAGCAGTGAAGGACCACGTCTTAGATCCATAAGTCATCACTGGTAACACGCACTGGTTGTACAATCTAGTTTTGAGGTATGTCTGACGAGAAGATGTGTCATAGTTTCCCGAACGCTCCCAGACGAGTTGAATCCGTCGATTGACTTCTCGGTCGAAGTCGGACCCTAGTCGGACTATTTGTCCCAGGTAAACATACTCGTCAACAACTTCGAGCTCAGTGCTCTCAACAACTACCGGCATAGGTGTGACATGGACATTAAACATGATCCTTGTTTTGTCCATGTTCATCTTAAGACCTATCCGTTGAGAGATACTATTGGACTATATCGTCGGCAAATCGAAGGTGAGTGATGTACTCGCCATTGATGTTAATACCGTATCCTTTTCAGTCCAGTAGCTTGAAAACGTCTTCCATTGCAGCGGTGAACACTTTCGGGGATATAACGTCACCATGTCTTTCACCTCTTTGCAGTTGGATAGGTTTCGTAGTCTGTTTCTGTACTCGCATAGCCATCGTAGCTCTAAACACTTCAGCACTTCGATGTATCGATAATCAACTTTGCACCGCTGAAGGGGATGTAGCACCGCCTAAATTTCGACGAAATCAAAAGATTTCTCGTAGTCCACATACGCAAGGCAAAGTGGCAGATTGTACTCTTCTGTCTTCTGTACAATTTGCGGAAGGGTGTGTATGTGATCTGTGGTACTAAAGCCTTTTCGGAAACCGGCTTGTTCGGGAGGCAGGAAGTCGTTCAGTCTGCATGCGAGACGATTCGTAATGACTCTCGAAAACAGCACGTAGACGCGGCTCAGAAGGGAAATCGGTCTGTAGTTCTTCAAGAGAGAGTTGTCGCCTTTCTTGAAGAACAAGACCACCGCACTTCTGCTCCACGCCTCCGGAGTAGCGCCACCATAGAAGACGGAATTAAAGAGCTTCTGAAGGACTTCAAGTACCGGTTTTCCACCCGCTTTCAGAAGCTCCGCTGTAATTCCATCCTTACCCGGCGCCTTGTCGTTTTTAAGGCGATACCCCGACCAAAACCTTGCGATAGTGCGTTTTTCAGAGACTATTATCTCATTAGTTATGAGAAATAAACTACATCTAAAAGCACTTTATTAATGTTCGATATCCTATCGTCACATTCCACGTTATAATTTGTTTTTATGTGTTATAAATACATTCAAAATCTACTTTTAACAAAATGCCGAAAATTATTGATTACATGCATCTGTTGCTAAAGGCAATGCTCTATAATCATTTGAGGATTACACTAATGGATAGATAATTTAAAAATTTATATTCTTCACGTTTTATTTTAATTTTTAAAGCTCGTTTTTCTTTTTTAATTAAAACAATTCCAAAAGTTATGTGAATTCTATGATAAAGCGGCGTACGTCTAAAGAAGGAACGAATGCTCAAGGTTATTTTGGGCGCAGGTTGAGCAAAATGTCGCGCTAGTCGTTATTTGTGCGGTTTTTAGGAGCTATCTACTTTTTATTTAAAA